ACAACTTTAAAAACAGTTTCAACATCAATCGTATTGTGCATCGTAAAATATTAAGAATTGTAGCGAAGTTACAGGGACTAAAACTTAGCGTGTTCACAATCACAGCAATATTTTAATAACTCCGATATTATATATTTTAATTTTTTAAGCAACGAGCAAACCCTGCCATAGTATAGTAATGCGCACATTTTGAAGCATTTGTTATACCAACTAGCACCGTTGTCTAGTTTTTTTCTACTAGTTTTTAAAACAAAATTTAAGTGTATACTTTATAGAAACGAATAATCTCAAGAAAACTGTAGTTAAACATTTACGAGTTAAAAAAAACTCATTTGAGTTCGTCGTAGAAACGGGGAAAGGTCGACACGTTTCGAGCGCCCGAAACTCCTCGACAGGACGATGCGTAAATGGATATGAAATATTCTCGACCCTGTGCTGTTCTGACGAGGAGCATCGTGTTTCGAAAGCTTGAAGCATGCCTACTTTTTTTTCCCGATTTCTACAGCAAACAAAATAATTTTTACATTAATCCTAATCACGCGTATTTAAAATTCCATTAAACACGCGTGATTACACACGCATTCCACGCAAAAATTATAAAAAAATAATTTTTAATAAGTCTAAATTTACTATTATTAACTAGTCTAGTATTTTTTCAATTGCACTGCGACGATAAGTCTTAAAAGGGGAAAGTGTGCGAAACACTGATATGTATGTAGTACACAATACTATTAAGTAATTACTATCAGTGTAAAATATTTACATATAATAGTAAATATTCCATCATTTTACTTTTTATCGCTACATTTATGATACCTCCACTGGCGTGTAGTCTATAAGGGAGCACTAAATACTGGTATGTATATAAATCTTCAAATGTTCGAATGTAGGCATTTATTACAAAAAATGGGAAAGTTTAATGATGCGCATGATTGGATCAACGATAGCTTAAAACTGTCACATTTAAAGAGGGTAATAAATTTTCACGATATCTTAGTCCTAAGCTGTAATGAAAAACGACTTATAAACCTGTCTATTTCTTGTGTCAATTGTTTGCTTTGAGATTTTTAGGTGAGATGTTTATCAAAAAAGACCATTTTATTAAGTATATCATATTATACCTCTTGTTTAAATGTCTCGTAAAATTTCACTATCTTTACGAATTTCAGAACTGAGGGGCTCATGTTTGAAGGTCAACATGACAATATGATCACCTAGTTTAATATTTTATTCATAATTATTAAAAATAAAACTGCTACACATTAAGGACTAACCAATATGTCAATGAGAAAAAAATATATATTTCTGACCAACCATTATTGTCGTCAGGAAGAGCAAAGAAGGGATTAAAGTAATCAAAACATCATTTTTTTTTTCTTCTGTTAAGTGAAAATGTTAAAACGTATCCACCTTTCAGTTTTATCCTTAAATTTTTTCAGATTGTTTTAATAAAATTCCTTACTCTTTAATGACTTCTAGTGACTGTTCTGAGTTAGAAAACGTTTTTTAAAATTAATTTTTAGCAATTGGGTCATTGCAATTCGGCAAGAAGAATACCGTTGAAATCACATGATTGTTCATAGTGTGTTAATATTACAGTTATTAGACTTGATTTATTACCTCTATGAATCAATTTTCGGATCAGATCTGATTGGATCATAGCCTCCGAAAGTCAAGGTCTTTCAGTAAGTTTGTGACGTCACCCACGGAAGTTCTAAGGAACGCGGTAGCTCAGATTTGTATTAAGTTCAAAACTTGCATAAATAGTTCAAAATATTTTGGAGCGAAGTAAAATATTTTCTCTTTAGCTAATTTATTGGCACTTTATTTATAAGGGTGAATTTATATTCGAATATAGTTTGATATTTGGTCTGAATTCATAAAAATTTATACGAGGCAAATGATGTTTAAATTTATTTTATTTGACGACCGAAGGTTTTGAGAAAGTACGAATATTTTGCTGTTTTTATTCTATAATACATGCTAATGAACATTACCCGAAGCATTGTACTTGATAAATGAAATTTCTTTCATTATGTAATTAAGAAGCTTATATTAACACATGCAAAAAATAATTGTAAAAGATTAAGGAACAATAACACTTACTCGACTATTAGCTGTTATTTCATAATTGCCGCGTTTAACTGAATATACCGATTTTTGTTTTAGTTCCTGCATTTTTGGGGAATTTTTAAACTGGCACTTTTAGGTCCATATTTCTAATTAACCTTTTATATCTCGGTACAGCACAGGCATAGGTCATTATTAAAAATAAAAAAAAACCTATATAAAAATGGCATATAAAGAATCACATAACTGGCGATCAAACGAAGCTGCTCTTCAATAACAAATATTTGAAATTGGCGACAAATCAGAACAACCATGTGTGACGTCAATAAAAGATCTTTGTGATCTCAACCGTCTTATTTCTCGGTGACTATGATTGGATACCTGCAAGCGACGTTTTACTTGTGTGTAAACGTGATTCGTTGCTGAATCATGGCCGACATGACGTCACGTGCAGGTATCCAATTGATTATTACCAAACATATTAACTATATTACAACGTAGAATTACTAATTATAAGATTGTAGAAGTTAAATGGCTGACAAAAGCATGGAAAGCACTGTTAAAAAATAGTTTCTCACTTCAATATTTACATCTTGCTATTAAAACAGTTGAACAAACATTATAATTAACTAATGCTTGTTTTATATGTCTTAAGAGGTATTTTTTTCTATTCTGTATTTGTATTAAAATTTTAGTAAATAATTAAAATTTTAGGTGATCTGACTAGCTTCAATGAAGTTATATAATTTAAACAATCCGTAGAAGTCATATAATATTAATAATTATATGAAGTTATCATATAATATTATACCTTATTCTGTAAGAGGCAAAACTTAGTTCTTTTCCGTAATTTCAACTATTTTATTTAAAAATTTATTTTATTTTGGGTAACGAGTATTTTATTTTGGGCTAAAAAAACAATGAAACATAATAAAAATGGAATTCGGAAAATAGTTGAACGGAAAAGTTTTGAATTGCAACAATGAATACGGGTTCTAAGACTTATGATTAAAATAAAAGATCAGCTAAATTTTTAATTTAATGTAGTTATAAATAGATTTTAATTTAGATACCACTGGTATTATGGGTACAATCCTCCCCCCCCCTCATAATCCTCTCATTAATAATTACTATTCTAACTTTCCGCATGAAATTTAAGCGAAGAAAATTATGGTATTATTAAATTTTCCGGTAGGTTACAACATTTTAATTAATTATTGCTATTATTTTGCCAGTAAGAAAGCTTTTATTTCTTGACACTGCAAAGTGTTATGCAATTACATTTTTTCTCTTTCACCCCAATCGGCATTTTTTTTCTTAAAAAAAGTCCTGATTAATTGAAAAGAAGATATAAAAAAAGAAGTTTTTAGCAAAAAAGCATTGTTTAAAAAATGGCGCAATTTTTTTTCTTGAATTTGTGTTTTGTTTTTGTGTGCAATAAACACTTCACTATTTAGTAATCAGTATCATTTAATTAATTAGATTTATGCTACAAAATAAAGCAGCTATAAATACAATTAAGTTTAATGTAAAATGGACACATGAAAGAATATGTAGTGCCTACCGATACAATTATTTAATACTAATTCACTGGAAAATAAAATATGTTAACTCGCTTCTATCATTCTGTCTTGGATTACCTTTTGATAGATGAAGTTTGACATTGGTGTTAACACCTTCCCCACATTGGTGACCCGGATGTGATCTGACTACGCTTACCTCGTCACTTACGCCCACTTCGACTAGAACTCTCTTACATCGATGGATGTCGACATTGAACAGCTAACTTGCTATTTGCGACATTGTCTTCCTCGCCCTGTAGCTTTTCAGTCTCGATCACACACAACGAAGCGTGTCCCACAGTCGACTGCTAATAGAGAGACCATCTTAATACAGCTCTTACGATCAGTATTCAAAATTCGTTGATATTAACACAGCTCTCCCAGCTTCTCACGAAAACAACAATGAATAAACTAAGGGGTATATTAACGGTTCATTGAATTCTATGATAGATAAAATTCTGGTGGAATACTGTAGCGTGTCTACTACTACAATTATTAAATGCAAATTCGCTGGTTTATAAGACATATTAACTCGGTTCTATCTTGGAGTACCTTGTGATAAATGAAAGTTGACACTGTCGATAACGCATTCCCCACAAGTGTTCATTCCATTACATTAATTTAAAAAGTAGAAATAGTTACCCCAAAATTATTGTTGGAACTGGGCAAAAATTTTTGTTAGTCTTTTTTGAACGCAAACATTCATTGAATATAGAAATTATTTCATTTATCGTAATGTTTTCACAAACTTGGCGAATTGAGATTTGAAAATTGAAAAAAAAATGAGATTTATTGTTAAGTAACCTGAATACATTTACTGCATTTGATTGATGAAATGGAATTCAATCCAGAACAGCATTCTATTGAAGTTGAGAAAAATTTGATTCGATGATATATTTTAACCATTTTTTCTCAAAAGAGCAGTAAGCAGTTTTTGCAATTGGAAAGCTCGATCTTTTGGTACTCCACATTTGGTGTCATCCATTAAAGCAACGATTATTTATGTGTCTCTAATTTCAAAAATAAAATAGGTAAATAAATAAATAAGCAAAGAAAGTAAACAATATTAAAAGCAAAAAACCACGAATTAAAGGTTTTGAAAGAGAATCAGAATTAAAAAGGATTTTCTTATTTGAACATATAAGATTAAATCTAAATCCTATACAACTTTATTTTACGCATTAAATCGAAACCTCAGAAATTGAAAATGAAACAACTTTTGTTGGAGCCCCCGGTTACAGTTAATCTCTTATTTCGGTTTGGAAATAGAGAACTTTTAGCTATTTAAAGAGAATTTCAATCCATTTTAAACACATAAAATTTATTTGCTAATTCAATTTTAATTTGATTTAATTTTTTTTCTTTCAGCTGGAGACGAAGTGGCAGAATCTGAAAAGATCAGAATCTTACCTGCAACTGCCTCAAAGAAAAACACAAACAGCGCGAATCATCAACAAGAAACTGATGATATCAGCTGTTCCGCGCAGAGTAGCACTTCATCTTTCGCAAATGAATCTTCCAGCAGTAAAAAAAGAAAACAAGTCAATCAGACAGATGATGAATATTACAAAAAAGACAGTTCGTTTTACAATATGGGGTTCACACTCTCACCTTCTGACCTTGAACGAAGCTGGAAACAAACCAGATCTAGCATCAGTGGTGGTAGTGCATCAGAAAGTAGTTTAAGAAGGACCAAAAGTGAATGTAAAATATCCATTAATAGAGAACCCATTGACAATACCTACATTGAGAAACAATGTGGTCCTAAACCTTCAGATACTGCAACCAAAAAGGTTTGGTAAACTAAGAGTGTTTTCTATATTTTTTTTCACAATGCTGTGCATTCAAATGTATATATACTTACAAATCTGTTTATAATGAAATAGAATGGTCTCAGTAGAAAAATTCGCTATTGAGAGAATCTCGTTTTATACAGTTAATATATATATTTAATTGCATTATTGTTTCAAAATCTTTAATCAGTGTGATGAATTTAAACTTATATAATTAGTACTTTTAATTAAATCTGAAATTAATACATCGTATAAATTAAGGCATGTAATTTTTATGACATAAAAAAAATAATGCTCAAAGTGCGAACGAAATTCTTATTTTTTGTACGCATGCTACTAATGTGCACTTTCTAGCATAATATTTAAAAATTAAGTGATTTTATATTGCATTACATTTTGTGATGGGAAAGATTTTCGCATGCATACCTGGGCCAAAAGTTTGTTATCAACCAGATGGGTATTGTTATCTGTCCTACCAACAAGGAAGGCAGTAAATAGATTTTAAACTTACAAATGTTTTCTAAAATACATGTAGGCTTGTGAGTTATAACCTGTCAGTTAATTTCCTCCTGTGATGTTTTTTTAAATTTTTTTTTCCAGGCAGCTGCCCATAATTAGCTATGACTTGGTGATTATTCTGCAGCAGATTATGATAAAGAAATGTTTCCAACCAGGCAGCTGCGTGCCAGAAACTTAAAAAAAAAAAGAAAGAAATTCTCGCCAGAGGACAGACATAAAGAGTTTAATCTATAGTCACTACCGCTCAAACCATCACACATTTTCTGAAAATGTTTTGCAAGTACAATTTAAAAAGCTGCATTGTGGTGGTAGTTGATGCAAACTGGTACAGATGCAGTAATATCACCTTAAATTATCATATTATAAGAGGAATAAAAATTGAATTGGATATATTTTTGTCCATTTGAAAATTTCTTAAAATGGTTTTTGAATTATTATAACAATTTATTCCTATGTGGTTTTGACTATAATAAGGTACACATTTTTGAAAAAAACTGTTACTGTAATTGTTCAAAATCTCTTCATTTGAAGTAATTGATAGTTCTTCCATTAATTTTCATTTGTAGAAAGTCGTATTGTCTGTTATTTTTAGATTCATTTTATAATATTAATCATTCTAATGTAATTTCAATTACAATTTACTTAAAAAATGATAAGATCGAAAAGGTAAATTTAAAAAAACAAAAAATGTTATAAGCATATATCCACTTTGTTATATAAAGAATAATTTGATAGGATGCATGTATTTGAAATATGCAATTTTATGTTTATGTATACTTATCTGATTAAATGTTTATTTTAGGCCAAAAAGTACTTTTCATCTCATTGTAACTGCAGTATGGCTTGCATAGTATCATTTTTTACCTCATTATTTCCTATTTTATCCTGGCTGCCAAAGTATAGACGAGAGTACTTTATATCAGATATTATTGCCGGCTTTACTATATCTATTCTTCACATACCTCAAGGTATTTATAAATATTTCTCATAATTTTATAAAGAATAAATTGTTGAGTCTGAATGTTATGTATGTGTTAAACATTGGCATATAGCTAGAGAGAGAGGATAGCTGTCCCAGAATGCTTTCTTAAAGGGATATCCAATTCATGAAAAATACTTAAAAATTAATTTCATAATACAATGTTTTTATCTTTTAAATATTCCTAGTTTGATTTGCTAGTTAGGAGGTTAATAACTTCGTCAAATTTTTGTACGATTTACCTGAAATTTGTACAGGTAGTTAATTATTTAATTTACATGTAGGTTATTTTTTAAAATACAAATGTTTAAATAATTATCAACTTATTTGGCAAAGATTATTTTTAGTGTAAATATTTTTTATTCAATTTAATGATAATGATAAAAAATACTTAACTTGAAAATGTAGTAAGTGTAAAGAAACTAAACTAGTAACATACATTGTTAAATTTTGAACCGAATCGAATGAAAGATTATAAAGTTATCGAAGTACGCTGTTTCTAAGAAATATTATTTAAAGTTGAAAAATCTTATTCTATCTAAAATTTAACAATACCATAATAGATATAAATTTTTATGTTCTAAAACCTTAAATTATCTTGAAAAGCCCTTTAAAAGAGTCTGGCATCATAATTGTTAGAGGGTGTAAAAACTCTGTTTGATCCCGTAAACGCTAACTATACCTCTGCTGTCTTCTTTTATTTCAAATGTTACTTATGAGTTAAATGTTATGTCATTTCAAATGTTATAAACCTGCAATTTTAAAATTATTGAAACAATTTTGTTGTTCTCCCCACTGTATATTTTTACAAATAAAAGTTTGTTTTGCATTTATTAGCAATAGTCATTGTTTTCAGGCATGATATTCTTTTGACTTTCTAAACTATTGATTCTGAACTTTAATTTTATATCATTAACTTTAATCACAATTTATGTATAAAGCTTAACAGTTTGTTGGATTGTCAATGTACAATTATAATAAAAAATACGACCTCTAAGTGTGAAAATAATTTAAATGTTTTCTTTTTGTCCAATGCAGTTTTATACGTTTTTTTCCCTTCCTGATTTGTGTTGATAGGTATTTTCAGTCTTTTTGTTCTTTTCTCAGTCCCCTATTTTTTAATTTATTAAAAAATTGCTCTGTACTTTAAAGTTTTTTATTAAATAGTTAATCAATAGTTTTTTTTAAATAGTAAAGCATCACTGGCTGGGGATAGTGTGCGGGTGGGTGTCCACATAGTTTAGTCTGCGTAGGGACCGAGGGTGTGCGGTATTGGTTCTCGTTAAACTGTTCTATCGTAAAGTGCTCGGCTTTGCATACAGGTCGTCAGGCTACTGAAGCGCGGGCACCATCCCTTCTGGAGATGATCAGAATTGTGATAGCATGTCTTCAGATCATCCTCTGGGATGTTTCCCAGACCGTCGCCAATTACCCATTGTGCACCCTTAGTGCGATGTAAATGAACTTCAACAAGAACAACAATAAATAGTTAATCAATTTATTAAAAAAATACTTGAGTTCATTACAAGATTCTTTTTTTTTTTTTAGGTATGGCCTATGGTGTTCTAGCATCTGTAAAAGCACAAAATGGATTGTATGTGTCCTTCTTCCCTGTTCTAATATATTGTTTACTTGGAACATCAAGGCATATATCTATTGGTAAGTCAATTATGCAAATCTAATAAATAGAATCATTACCTTAGTGTTTGTTAGTTGTGGAGCAGCTCCGTTTCTAATATGCTTGGTATTCAACAGTATTCTTTTTAGTGACCTTATAATTTATATTATTTTAGCTTTTTTAATTTATAGATATTTCCTTTTTAAATATTGATTTTTTTAGGCACATTTGCTGTCATCAGTTTGATGTTGAGCAATGCTGTTTTTAGTGCCGGTGCTGTAAGTCACAAAAGTCTTGTGAATGAAACTCTTCAGAATGGTTCAACAACGAATGTCGTACCAGATCACATAACTAGTATTGAAGTTGTTACTACTATTGCTCTTTCCGTTGGGTTACTACAGGTATTTTGGTGTTATATTAAATTAAGTATTTTTAAATAGGTAGGGAAGAAATAATTTTTATAATTGTTCTCAATTTAAAAAAATCTAAACTTTTTTTAAAGCTTAAAGTCAGCCAGTTTTTTTTATATTTTTACCCACATCTGGGGTTAAAATTACACATACTCACATAATCTTTTCTTAAATATCAGAAATGATTGTGCTCCGGAAAAAATTCGGATTTCCAGATTTTTTGCTAACTCCGGTCCGGAAATCCAAGATCCAGAGGTTTCAAGAAATCATTGATCACATTTATGTCTAAAAAATCTTGTACATTTTATTTAAAAATATTGGAACTAGAATTAATACTTGGCATCTCTTTCATTTGTAAATATTTTTTTTGATAGAATAATTAAATGTGATTAGAGATAAAAGTAAACTAAATACTTAATTATTAATTTAAATTATGCTGCATATAATTTATTTAGAATTTCATGTTTGGAAAATATCAATGATTTAAAATTATAAAGACATTAATTTTTTGAAATGTGTCATTAATGATTTTACTAAAGAAATTATCAGGATGTTTGAGTTAGGCTCACAATCACCCCTGCAAATATTAAGACTAGAATACCATAGGTAGAATAAAATGCATCCTAAATCTACTTAAGAAAAAGATGTCTGAATCTTTTATTATTACTTTGTAGGTTTTAACATACAATAACCTTAATGTGGATGAAATTTACTCCAGTAGCACAGTCACATTAGATCATACCACTGGGGCAGATGTGGGGGTTGTGATTTAGATTCTAGTGGCTTATAAAACAGACTGTGGGTATACAAAGTAAAATATGTGTTAAATCAAACCACATGAAGTGTAGAGAGGGGGTTCGGACCAAGTTTAAAATTTGATTTTTACCTTGCTCATTAAAAGATAAAGCTGTTGAAAATAAGGTTAGGTGCTTAGCCAAGTTTGGTTGGTGTGCCACGTAATCTCATATAATGTTTTTAATGAAAATATTACTTCAAATTATTTCATTTAAAATCTAGAAAACCTAAAAAGAAATTTCATGAAAATTACCTCACTATGTATGTTACCCTTATTTCTATGCTTAATTTTACAATTTGGAGACAAACTTTTATTATTGGACAAGCTTGTTCATTTTGAAATTAAACTCGTATATTTTTGAAAATTAGATTGTTAATTTTTATGAATTTTATTAAAGTTTATTTTATTGTTTTGAAAATTCAATAATATAAATTTTAAAATAACAAATAAATGTTTCAGTTTGCAATTTGACATGACTTGGTTTTTGACATAACTATTGAAAAAAAAAAGCTTTAAAGCTGCAGAATAGGATTATTACAGTTTGGCAACTATTACTTCATTATGATCAATTTCATTAATATTTCAATTCTGTATGATTAAAAAGCAGTTAATTTTATGCAAAGGTCTGCATATTTTATTGGATTACTTTAAGCTCGTTTAAGAATTTATATTGATTTATGAATTGTCTCTAACTGTGTATTGATTGAGTCTGCACTTTAACAAAAATTGTTTGACTTTTTAGCATTGAAAATTTTATTCAATTTGTTATACTTTTATTATTGTTACAAATTAAATAAATATACAAAAATAATAGTAATTAATAATTATTATAATATTTGTAATAATTAATAGTTATAATAATTAATAATTATTATATAAAAATGATTAATTGTAATCATAAAATAAATATTACAAAATAAATAAATAAATAAATAAATAATTTACTTTAGATAGGAATGGGTGTGTTTCGACTTGGCTCACTTTCTGTTGTCCTTTCTGATCAACTGGTATCTGGTTTCTCTACTGGAGCAGCTTGTCATGTTGCTACTTCACAAATGAAAGATTTGTTTGGCATAACAGTAAATCGTTACAGTGGAGCATTGCAATTAATTTATGTAAGAAAATTCAATTTTTTTAAGTATTATTTTAGTAGTTTTTTTCTTGATTGACATATAAGTAAAAAAAGAAATATAAATGTTGCAGTTTAATAAAGTTGTATATGTCATCATTTTTAACACGTTTTTTTTTTAAAAAAAAATTTAGTCTGTTAACAAATTGTCATCTGATTATTTTTTTCCTTGCAGTCTCTTCGAGATGTTCTGCAAAATGTTATGCACACAAATATAGCGACATTGATTACCTCGGCTATTGCAATTTTCACGTTGGCATTTTTTAAGGAACAAATCGATGGACGACTGAAAGGGCGATTAAGAATGCCTATTCCTATTGATCTCATTGTGGTAAATATGTTTTTTTAAAAATCCAACTTGATTGGTTTTTATAATAACTTTGTAATTCAAAATATTGTTTAAGATAATTCATAAAAGTGTGCACCAGGGTCAAATGTTTCATGCACAGCTTCTACCTTCTGCACAAAAAGTAACTGTGTACTAAGAAATATCACAAAATAAACTCTCAGTGAAGTTGCTGTCACTGAGCTTATCTCATAATTTCCAGACTGTAACTGACATAAGAAAGGTTAAATTTGTTACAATAATATTTTAGCTGTCAAGAATATTTTGTCCTCATATTTACCTTTTTGACCTCATATTCCTGAATTTTTGTGTGTGTGTGTTCAGTACATCCTATTTTATGTTAATGTAAATGTGGATTTTGAATCCAATATATTTTTATTTTAATTTACAATGTAAATTTTAATTCATTAAATGTAAATTTTAATTTAAGTATCAAAATATTAAGCTTTGTTGCATTTTTGAAAAAAATTCTTTTCAACAAAACGCATGTAATTCAATGATTCATTAATTATTAAAGATGTGATCTTTTTTATATTCAGTCAAAAAAGATATAAATTGTATCTCCACAGAGAAAAGTTTAAAATATAATGTATATCAACTTTAAAGAAGACTGCGCGTGCAAAAATGCAGTTTTTTTTAACTTTAAAAATATGATACATGTGTTGATAAAATAAAAAATTAAAATACATAACGCATAAATATGCATAATTTTCTTTACTTTGCCTTCTAATTTTTAAGATAAATTATTTTGTTTTTATTAAACTAAGGAATAATTATATTATTATAAATTGACACAATTGAATTTATGCTTCATACCTGCTAATTAAATGATGATGAATATTATACTTACATTGGTCTGAAAGTAAAATAAAGTAAAAAATAAAAATATTGTCGCATTTTTTCCAATATATAACTAAGAAAAAATTGTTTCATTCTAGTTTCTCAAGGAAAAAAAAAAAACTCATTGAATGGCATCAATTCACATAAAGTTCCATTATTGCTTCAAAAAATATTTAATTAAGAACGTTCATATTTAATGATTTAAAAAAGGTATGCATAGTTAAGCATTTACAAGAAAAGTTTATTAAAAGTGCCAAACCTATTTAAATAAGACAAATCAAATATTTTAATTATAATTATGCCAAAAAACCCCTATTTCTCAGACCACATATGAACATCTTACAAACTGTGAGTTGAAGATCACTGTTGCAACCTACAGAGTGTCATACACATCTTTTCCCACTGAATAACAGTGATAAAAAGAGATATACCCACAAATTGTTCTGCGTAACTTTTCCCACTGAATAACAGTGATAAAAAGAGATTATTCTATAAAGTGTAACCCACAAATTGTTCTGCGTAACTTTTCTCACTGAATAACAGTGATAAAAAGAGATATTCTATAAAGCAAAGTAATGTTATTAAATTTGAGAAAAGAATTCTAAAGATTAAAATACTAATATTACTGAGCATTAATATTTAGTACTATAAATGATAATGAATTACTTTAAGGCTGACTAGATGAAAATGTATTTTAAGTAAATAGAATCTTAATTTTTGACAAAAATTTTTGTTGCAAAATTTCGTATTTTTCTTACAAAATTCCTATCTTTTTCACAGTGTTTTCAAAACAAAGTTTGAAATAACTCTTGCTTAAGTTATTGCAATTGTTGTTTTTGTCTTGTCTATTCAGGGCTAAATATTTTTCTAAAAATTTATTGCCATATAAATTAATGGAATTTCCATTGTTTTTAATTATCCATGATTTATTCCGTTTTAGGTTGTTGTTGCAACTACAATCTCATATGGTGTAGATCTGCATCATAAATACGGTGTTTCTATCATTAAAGATATACCAACAGGGTAAGAAGCTGATGTAATTTTCTTTCGAATGAAAATTTATTTTTATTTTTACGGATTTAGACTGAATGTTTTTTTGTTTTTGTAGATTGCCCGCACCAAATCCTCCAAGAATGGATCTTTTTTTCCCTCTACTTGTGCACAGCATATCAGTTGCTATTGTTATATTTGCAATATCACTTTCTATGGCAAAACTTCTTTCAAAAAAACATAAATATACAATTCGTCCCAATCAGGTAAATTTTTTAATATTTCATTTTGTTAAAAACTTCTTTCTTTTTGTCATATAGAACATAGCTGTGAAATTGAATGTTGTTTTTCTTATTTGAAGTATTTTATGTTTCTATTTTTTTTTATCGTAATTTAAATCTGTTTTTTTTATTTTAACTAAAACTTGAGCTTTCAAGCTTCAGGTATGTAAAAAAATTAAACATATCTCGCTGAGTTGCGAACAGTTTTGTTTTATTTGTAATTATTTGATTACATTATCAAGTATTAAAGATTATAGTTTTTGAGATTTTCCATAATAATCTGTTTTTATTCCTCGATTAAACCCAATGTTATGAAATTTTATTGTTTGTAACTAATGTACAATGATTTTTTTATACCCTTTAAATGTTTTTAAAAACATTGTATAAAAAACATTAATAGTTTGATACAAATTAGAAATAAAAAAACAAAAAAAAACAAAACAAGTAATATCATCTTTTCCCTTTTTAGCAAGATCTTCTTGTAGCTTAATCATCTCTCCTTATAGAAAAACAAAAGTGTATTAACTCAAATCTAAAATGCTAGCAAAATTTTTTAGTTGTTCAAATGCAGGATATTAAAATGGCTATAAGGGATAGTTCCAATTTAACCAAAAGCTTGAACAATAATTATGAGTAATCAGTTTAATTTTACTCTTTTATAATAGAGTATAAAATTTCAGCAATATATAATTTTTAAATTAGAATCTTTCACTAAGCGTTCATTATAAATTAGCAAATTCATGCATAAAATTATTAATGTTGAGTACCTATTTAAAATTATATAGTACATACATTTTAAAATTGTGCTAATTTGAATTTCACATATGCTAGCTGTATATCTTTGTTATTGTACTTCTGATTACTGATAGCTTGTTTGGAAAGTTGGCACCCCCTGACTTCACACTATTTTTTCTACAATTGTTATCATGTAATCATTTATTTATTTGATGCACAAATGCTCATTCACTTTTTAAAAATATTGTGACTTAATTTTTTTTAGGAACTGATTGCATTAGGTAGTGCCAATGTGTTTGCCTCATTTTTCTCCTGTTATCCTTGTTCTGCTTCTTTATCTAGAAGTCTTGTTCAAGAAAGAGCCGGTGGAAAAACTCAGGTAAAATTTTATTAGATTTTTTTTTTTAAAACTTACTGCTCACTAATTATAAATCTTGGTATTTAGTTCCAACCTCAAATTTTAGAATCTTAACTAGTTTTTCTTTTAATTAGGTTTGAATTTTATTACAGGTTGCTGGTATTGTGTCTTGCTGTATACTTCTAATAGTTTTACTTGCTTTAGCACCAATGTTTTATTCTCTACCAAAGGTAAGAGTTTTAACTGTTTTCTTTTTTTGATTCATAATTAATTTTGTTATTCACTGTAAGTTAACAAAGGAACATGTAAATTAAATTAATAACATGATTTATATTTAAATGTAAGATAATATGCTTCTCATTCTCAGAATAACATGTAGTTGATTTTCTGTCAAATAGGGTATTTATTTGTAAATTTTTTTCACAACCAGTTATTCAGTTATTTTGTACACCTTTACTTTTTTTTGGAGAACAAAATCATTATCTAATTTATTATTGTTAAAACACGGCAGTAATAATAATTGAAAAAGGAAGAACACATATGCAATATGTATGAATCAAATCAAAATTATTTTAAAAAAGTTCTCTTTTTATAAATTTTTTGATGCATATTTTAAGCAAGAGAAATTAAAATATTTTGAGGAATTTTTTGTTTGCGAGAAATGAAATAAATAAATTAATTAATAAAATCAAAATTAAATAATATGAAATTACAATTTGTTATTGTTATAAGTTCGAACGGATTTATCAGCTAAGTTGGGATTTAAAAGGTAAATTTTATAAGAAGTATTTCTTTAATAAAAATGTGAGTGATGAATTATTCTCTGATATTTTTTCTAAGAATTAATTTTAACTATAATTGAATAAAAAAAGAAAATTATTCATTAATAAATATGCCTATGCCCAAGTATTTATATATTTTGCTTTTACAATATTAATACATATTTATTAAATATTATGAAGATGTAATTATAGAAATTAAAGATAATCATTATCAAACAGAATTTTTTCTTAGTGAGTTCTTTACATTATTATAAGCCTTTCTCTATTTAATTAGTTTATGTATGTAACGGTCTTAACCTGTATGTGTATTTATATAACAACTTTATATATGCATTTATATTTTTTCATACTTCTACAATTTAAAACTTAATTTTTCATTCATTTTGTAGAGTATTCTGTCTTGTATAATTCTTGTTGCACTGAAGCCTATGTTTTTGCAAGTAAAAGATTTTTGGAGCGCTTGGAAAATATCTAAATTAGATGCTGTAAGTTGTAAAAATTATTTACAAATATAATATTTTTTAGAAACTTAGCAAATTGTTTAATAGTTGCTAATAAAATCTTAAAATTTTTTTTGTTGAAAAAATGAAGCTATTTTTTCTAAATTATTTTGAAGAAGTAATAGATAAAAAAGCTATTTTATTCATCACTGAAATATTTGCTAATTTTTTAATTTAAAATAAATATTTAGTAATGCACAGGGATTGTAGTAGTCCTGGCTTTGTTCTGTAATTTTGAAACTAAAAATAGTAAATTTTTTTATTCTTTTGCGTTAGTCAGCAAAGTTAGTTAGTGCGTGCTTTAAATTACACATCCATGGAGCAAATTATATTTGTTTTAGTTTGCCCTTTACTTTTTTTTTTTTAATGTATACTGTTCCAAAAAAAATTTCTTGACTTTTTAAAAAAAATGTTATTTTGATTTTTTCTTTGCCACACTACAAAGCCTGTAATGCATTGCAGTGACTGTGCAAATGGCTGTGTTATGTTTAAACACACTGTTCTGAATTCGAGTGCAATTAACTTTTCCTATGTAATAATTATTATTACACACAAATTATCTTTAAATATAATTTAATGCTTACACAAATTGCTGTGAACATAAGATTATAAGTTATGCTATTTTCAAAAATGTTGAAGAAAAGTATTAAGCAAATTAATCGTACTTTTTTTTTTTATGCATACATATTTTGATATTTGATTTATTACCAGTGTAAATGGTATATATAAGTTAGAAAAATTGATTACAAGCTTAGATTCAGTAAACATCCTTGAGTATGTATAAAAATGATTTAAGAAAAAAAAACAGCAACCCTAAAATGTAAAAAAATTTCAGTACAACTCTAATAAGAGAAGATTCTAAAAACTACAAATATTATCGAAACCCAGATCCTAGTAAATGGTAAGGTTGAAATTTCTTTCAAAACAGTTTGGAAATCTATCTTTTCCTCTATTGTTTTTATTTTACATATTATCACATAAATTCTATTAAAGTGTAATTTATGGACAGTTATATTCACCATAGAAACTTTAATTTTTATTTCTTTGCAATAATGATTTCAAGATGAATCTCTGTGCAGTTGCTGATTGTTTATTATATTTAAACCTAAAATATTAATCAATAGATCAGTTAAAATAGATACAATATTTTTTTGTTGTTATTTCATTCATTGATTGTAGCTATTTTGATAGTAGTACTGGATATGAATTTAATATATTAAATAGAATTATGTTATTTTAATAGCTAACTATCCACAATAACAAAGTTGCCCTGCTTTTGCGTTATCAAACTGTACATTCAATCAGTCAAACATCTTCACTGATATATTTTTCAGTTATGAGTATGTGTATTAGGAACAAAAATTCTTAAAAAAGACAAAATCATTCTATAATTACAATGTCAATAATTTATATTTGGTATTACTCTATATAATTGTTGTTCTTATGATGTATGTAGTATTAACAGGATTATATATTTATGTACTTGTTTATTCTTTTATCTTAGCTTATTTGGCTGGTTACTTGTTTGGCAACTGTATTTATAAATGTTACTTATGGACTGTTAGTGGGAGTTTTATTTTCGTTATTGTCTGTGATAGCTAGAACTGTGATGTAAGTATTGTTCAAGTTTCAATCTAAATGTTCAATTTATCAAGTATCTTGTATTAAATTGTAATTTCAAATCTGTTAATTTTTGAAGTACTAATATTAGGTAATTATTATTTCTGCAACTTTCACTTGATTAAATGCCTATTTGTTGTATAGAAACCTGCCCTTTTTAAGCAATATAATAAATAAATTGTAAGATTATATACTTTGCCTAGTTATGGGCGTTGGAATGACATGGTCTTTAGCTAATGTGTGAAAAATGAGAATTATTCTTTACTTTGCCAAAATACTGTATAGATTGCTTGTAGATTTTTCATTAGTCATTCTATAGAATCCTTAGGTTGTGTGTAAAATACTAATTGTTTCATACTTTGTTGTTAATCATTATATTGAACTAGACATGTTACAGAATACCAGATTTCATACATGTGCATGCAGTAACATGTACATTCAATTCATAATTTTTGTCTTATAATATATGTGGAAATGTTTTGCCTTCGGAAAAATATATCCCAGTCAATTTGAATGGTTAAATGCAAGTTTTATTGGATGAAGGGCCACAACTCAAATTTATATAGTCACTTCTTTACGCACAGAATAACTTCTGATCTAGTTATCAGATCTTCTTGTATTAGGATTTAATCCTATTGGTTTTAAAGGGTGACCCTAAATTTGCTAATTATTTAGTGCAGATAATATTTTATGTCACAAAATCGGAAATGAAAAAACTTATTTTCTCTGAAAGCACATATAATTTTTAGGATAGATTTGGTTTCCTGATCCTTAAAATATGCAGCGTTGCTGCAATCTGGGAAATGTGGTCCCAATTGTTTGGTTAGGAAAACGGTCAAAAGTTTATGAATTTTAAAAAAGTTGCATGCAAAAATTTTTCAATTCACTTAATAAGTTCTAAAGATAGGGCAAAATATGCAAAAAGTAAAATTAACATTGAGGGTTCTAAACTTCGGACCGATTACCTATTGCAAAATATTTTTGCTATAGGAGAATATATATTTTAAATTGTATCCTATCTATAATACTGTGGGACCACTCTTCTCAAATTGTGGCTATCCCTATATTTTAAGGGTCAGAAATTACAATCCGTCAAAAAAAAGTATGTTTCTTCAGAGAAAGTACATTTTAGTGTATAAATTCGTAACTTAAAAATGTCATCTGCTCTAATGAGTTAGCATATTTGAGGTTACCCTTTTGAATCCTTAAAATTAAGCATTCAACATTAACATTCAATCACTAGATCAAAAGTAATTCTAGATATTCCTTTTCTTTTTTTGACATACTATAAACAAAAAAAAAAACAAACAAAAAAGCGATAACAATACACTAAATGATTGAAACTTTTACTAAACAAATATTTCAAATTAATAAATTAGGCAGGCCTTAGATTTGCTGTTTTCCTTTTTAAAAAAAAAAAAATTACTTGGTCCATCCAATTTATTCTATTTATTTTTACGTATTTAATAATGTCAGGATTACAGGTTGTTTATCTTGTACAGTTCAAAGTTAAATCTCCAGTTATATTAAGATTTATATTAATCATAATTGTTGTAAAGAAACAGAGTCATTGTTTTCTTTTATATTGCGTTAATTACTACCCACTTATGTACTTGAATTGTATATTAATTATTGTTATTATGCTTGCAGACCATCTAGAACCTTCCTAGGCAGAGTACCAGATTCCGATATTTACTTAGACCTCAAACGTTACGATGCGGTAATTAAATTTTTCCATTTTTCATTAAAAGTGCTGTTAACTATGGATTTAAATTCTGAATTCTTCTTTTTATTTTTTCAGGCAAGGGAAATTAAAGGAATAAAGATATTTCACTTTGAGAGTGCGCTCTATTTTATCAATAGAGAACTTTTTAAATCATACTTAAATAAACATATTCCATTGAAAGATGAGTAAGTGTCTTCATTTTTATTTTAAGCATAACATTTTATTGCATTTTGTTAAGACTGCATTTATAAATAAATGTATTTTGTAATTTTATTAGAATAGATAATGTGCTATGACCTATTTAGCTAATTTTTTTAGTAATTCATTTTTTGGTATTTTATTTTTGTTTGCTTAAATGATTTGATCTAGTAAATGAATTAATTTTTATTGTATAGGATTTAAGAAAGCTACCTAATCAAACTTGATGTGCAGATATCTTAAAAGAAAATAGTTAAATTATGTTATGTTGTTCAAAATTGTTGGAGCTTTGCATGAAATTTTATTTATTTAACTTGCAATAAAACCTTAAAAATATTTAATAGATAAAATTTGTCAAGTGGTTTAAAATTTTAGCTGCAATGCTTTTTTTCTATGCACATTTTTTTGTATTACTTAAGACTTGTAGTAAGATTTTTAGTATACATTTAAATAATTACCTGTTAGATTCTACCAGTTAGAGTAAAATTTCTTGTCTGTGATATGTACTATGAAATATATTTGGTTAAGCTTGCCTTCTTTTTTTTTTTTTTTTACATATTATCTATTAATTTTATCTTCATACATATCAAAGTTGATCGTATATTTTTATTCTTTCTCTTTCTATTACAAAACTGGATAACTTAAGCTTCAAGTTTTAAATCCTGCAAAAAGTTGTTAATCTATATTTTGATGATAACTTTTTTCTTAACAATTCTAAAAGCAATAATTTTCCTGATGGTGCAATTCATCTGAAGTACATTGAAATAAATTGTGCTATGATATTATGTCGTAGAATATATATTAGATTCTAAGAATTATATTTCTAAAAGTTTTTATTTTTGAAAATAATTAAAGTTTTATACTGTTAAACATCTATTAGACAAACTTGTATCCTATGTTATGTAACTGTTGTGAAATTGCCAAAAATATGAAAATTTTTGGCAAACTTTTTAATCTATCAAAAGCAAAAGGTACAATTACATATCATTTTTAATTATGTAATTGTACCTTTTGTTTAAACAAATTTTTTATTAACAATCTCAGCTGACTATTGAAATTAACTCTTTTAATTTAACTCTTCATTATTGGAATGCTAACTCGACCAAAGAAAAAGTGTAGATTGTTTTTGATAGTTTAAAAAGTTTCTGTAACTGTTATTTGTTTTGTTTTAAAAAATAATGAAATTCATTTTCAGAAGTTCTGAAAATGCTTTATCGGCCAAAAATAGTGGAGAAAAAGTGCACAGAATAATAATTGATTGTTCAACATTTTCTTTCATTGATCTGGCTGGACTTGACACCCTTCTAGAAGTATGATATTTTGCCTAATTCTATCAAATAAAAGTTCAAAAATAGAACACAAATAAATAAAAGTCTCCTTAAATTGACAACATAAAAGTTTTCTGCATAATAAATGTAAAATTTATAAAAAAAAAATATTTGTTAGTTGTTATTTTTTGCGGAATGAAAATAAGAATATTTTAATTGATATTGCTGTGTTTTGCAAGTTTTATAGTGGTTAAATATTTAAAAGATGTTTTTGTTGATATATAAAATAATTGTAATAAAATTTTTTTCTATATTCTATTAAAAGTGTATTTGAAAATTTTCTTTCCATTAGACTGATGCCTTCCTTTAGATTAGATTCTCCGTTAGTAATTCAGTAAGATTGTTACTATTGTGATTTTCATTCTGTTAGATGTGCCACTAAATTAATCATAAAGGGACATTTTTGAATAATTTCGTTGTTACGCTCTTTTATTATAACTATAGATTATATAAATTAAAAAATATTGGCATAGTTCAAATGTAAATTTTTTTTTTAGATTATGAAAGAATATCAAGAAGCTGGTATTAGTGTATATCTGGCAGCTTGTTCAAGTGAGTGCAGTAATTACTAAATTTTTACTCTTCATTTTTAATAATGACCTCTGTAAAACTGTATTTTTTTCTAAAAATAAAAGCACTAGCTTGATTCACATTCATCAGAATTACTTTAGTTCTTGTCTATTTTTAAATCAAATGATTCCGAAAGAAAAACAGTTCCCTTCCAGACTTAAAAACTTTTTGCAGGATTTCAAATTGATTTCTTTTTAATATTATTTGCTGATTGTATTTTTATTTACAACTAAAAAACTCACTCTTATTATAAATAACAAAATACGTTAGTTTTAGTTTCTTTTTTTAAAAAAATTTAAATGCTAAAAATCTCAATTTTACTTTTTTACATTGCCGTATTTTTAGAAAAAAAGTGACCATAAAAGAGTAACGTTTATTAAAAATGCTGTGTCATTATAAGAACAGTAATAAAAAGAAAAGTTAATAAAAAAAGCAAAAGAGAAAAATAATTATTCTTAGCCCTGAAATGTAACTTTAATGTTGAGAATCACGCTCTTCTAAGTTACCTGTTGTATGTTGTACCATAAAGGAAAAAAGGGACAGTAAAAGAATGAAGTCTATAAGAAAAGCTCCATTAAGATGCTGCGCTATAATTAAAACAGAAAACAAAACATGGTGCATAGCGGTTTTAAAAATTGCCTATTTTCGATTTACGTTTTTTAAAAACCCTTAAAGGTGCTTTTTTCATGGTGTTTTTAAAAAGTGCTTAAATTTCCTTTTTCGAAAATGAGATTGTTTTCTTTACGATGTTTATATTCATTGCGTATTATGCAAAAGCGTGGTTTCACATTGTTCTATTCAACGTTTTCACAATTCATTCAACTACAATCCATTTCGGCGTACCGTCTCCCATAACCTATGATAGCGCCAATCATATTGCATATTCATTTTACATATACACTCTCATGTGCAGCTCTGCTGAATTTTCCAAGGTATTATTAATTTCCGACTTCATTTTCCTCCCTCTGAAATCGAACTGAAAAATCTCCCGACCTTTTTTTGGTGGCTAATATAATCAAGAAAAGAGTTATTTTTGTTGTCAGAAACTGGTTATTCTATGATGTGTAAAGTCTTTGAAAATAATTATATTTTGTTAAAGTATATAGTGCTTAAAAATATCTTTAGAGTGCTTAAAAAGTACTTTAAAGGTGCTTATTTTCTGTTACTATGAGATTTGGCTATGCACCCTGGAAAATAAAAAAAGCTCTCAATTCTTAAAAAAAAAGACAAAATAGACTTCCCTGAATATAATTAAAAAAAAAATAAAAACAGCAATTCAAAACTTATAATTTAATATAAACTAATGAAATTTTAATCCTTCATGGCTCCCTATTTAGCATTTATAAGAAAAATGAAGTTATTTCGTTCATTTGATATTTATAGTATATTGTTCCATTTTAGTGGCAATGCTTGATGTTATGGCCAAAGCCAAGTTCTTTGAAAAGACCCCTCTACACCCTTCAGTTTTTCCTACTATACATGATGCTGTTGAATTCCAATATTTTTCTCATGTTAGTGGTAACAGTTGATAGATAAATATTGTTTGTTATTCATGTTATTTATAGTTACTATAGAAATTGTACATATTTTGCTCATTTGAAAATTGAACTGTGATGAAGAAAAGTGATAAATTATAGAAGTATTTATTGAAGAGAAAGTATTTTGAAGGAAACTATTTTTTAGACATAATAAATATTTTTTGATTACTTTATCAAAAATACTACTCAAAGAATTAAATACTTTCCAAAAAAATATACTCTATTTTGCAGTTTTGTTTAACCATAAAAAGGTTTTTTTTAAAAAAAGTATTATGAATAGAGCTAAAAATGAGTTTGTTTTTAAAACACAATTTAGAATTGCCTATATATATTTTTTTTTATCCACTGTACATAAAACTGTTCTTTAAAATTTAATAATTGGTAATGTTTATACACTACTTATATATCTCTAATTGCAGTAACATTATAGTATCCTAATGTTGCATTGATACGTTTTTACATCAACTGAACTTATGAAATGTGATAGTTTTCTATTATAAATAATCAAATTATTAATTTAGATACAGTAGAGCTTCGATTATCCACAGAATTGGGTAGCAAGGGTATAACGGATAATCCAGAAACGAAAAAATATCAAATGTAAGGTGGAAAAGCGAACATAATTTTAAAATGTATTCAAATATTTATATATATTTCAAACATGTAACAAGGATATTTGTTCTACGTCTAAATTACTGAATTAACTAACTGTAAAAAAGAAAAAATTGCACTTCTAACAGAACATGCTTTTTAAAAGTGTCCATACATAAAAGGTCTGAGTGCTGTTAACTCGCAGATAATCAGAGCTCTACTGTATGTATAAAAAAAAATTTATCTGACTATTTGATTATGAGAAAAAAAACTTTTTTTATTGGAAAAATTGTTAATTGCACATTGATATAAAGAGTACGTAATAGGCATTTAATGTATTTTGACTACAGACTAGACTACTATTCATTAGTGAGATTCTGTTCATAACAATAAAAAATAGTATTGCTTCATCAAACAAAATTTTAACTAATTCATTTTTATATACTATTTGAATTTTTAAATATTAATTTATAGATTCAAATATTGTTTTCCAAATCAGAATTTAATATTTCTTTCTGAAAATAAAAGTACTCTCTTTAAAACAAAAGCATTCTTTCCAGAATTTAAAAAAAAAAACCTCTGAGATTTCCTGAGTTAAAAGATTTTTGTATTTTCATGATTTAAATTCTAATCAAAATTAACATACATAAATACATATTAAAATTGTTAACTTTTTTTAAAATCTAAAATTATTTGCTATTTGATACATAAAAGTTTAATACTTAACAAAAAATATTTTATTCTTATTTAATAAATTTACTATTATTAATTTTATCTTGTAATAAAATGCTTGTTTTATAAAAAGTGATTGTGATAAAATAGTAAAAGAATTTTTTTAAAAATAAAAGTATCACTGTAGGCAAGAAAATTAAGCTAAAATAACACTTTATAAGTTTCTATGAAATATGATCTGTTACATGAACTGTTTTAATTTGTTATATAAAAGCTACTAACTCACTTTTCGTAAAGTTGTTACATTTGCCGTAAAGTAGTTACATTATAATACTCTAAGGTTATATTCCAAGAAAATTAAATTATACTACCCTCTGAATAAATTGTTATAGCATGATTTCTTACGTGAACTGTTTATATGAAACAGTTTATTTATAGTAATATTGAAACACACAATAATTAAATTAATGGTTAAATTATATAACATCATAATGCTGCTAATCTCTAATATTCTAAAAATTTTCCGAGTTCATTGCAAAAGCCCCCTTTCCAGAGTATTTTCAAATTCAAGTGGCGATTTTGTTCAACGTGGTTTCATTTTTTACAAGTGAACAGAATGCAATTTGTTTTGAAATGAAAATTTTAAAAGCATCTTCAAAAAATGTTTAAAAGTTGTCGTTTGAAAGTGTCTCTAACAATGTTATAAAATGATGAAGGCTTTATATCTAGAAAAATTTCTGGTTGTATCTTTGTATTGTAGCTCATCAGTATTAAATGTGTTAATTCAATGCTCCACATGGATGAGCGCAAAATGTAATTTTAGTATTTGTAGACGATATACAGAGCTTTGTAATTTTATCTACTTTAAATAGTTCTACTTATTTATTTTTACTGTATGTGTAAATATCAATTTAAGGGGGAGAACATCATTGTGAATTTTTTCTGGAATCAATTTTATTTACATACCTTTAAATGAAAACTTTTCCCACAAAATCTTTTTATTTTCATGTTCACAAAAGCTGATTTGACCAAATAAATACCTTGTTTAATACTAATGCAGTTTCTGTTTTACTTAGGAATTCTTTTATTATTAGGTTTTATAAATTTTGAGTATTAAATTTTTTAAGCCAAGTCTCTTCATAACAATTGATAATCATGGCAGTGATGAAGAATATTTTTCATTTAATGAACTCTTCATTTGTGTACACATCATGTTACTAAATGCACTGAATTGTGTCTGGTAGTAAGATAGAGTATTTGAAGATTGCAAAAGCCTATTTTATTGCTATTAACATTTTCTGTTTTAAGGAAAATGGGATTTACACGATGCCTCTATTAATTTATCTTCAGTTCACAAAGAATTGAATGAACGATAAAATTATAATTATCTGAAGACATTAAATTGGAATAGGTAGAAACTTCACTATGATATTCCCCTTTTTAACCAATTATTGTAAAGTTATTCATGACAATTAAGCAGTGTTTTTTAAATCATTATGCCTAAGTATTGATGTATATACTAAGTGATTTTAATTTTAAAATTCAGAATTCATATCAGTATAAATTTTTTGTATATTTATGTTTTTAATCAGAGTTGACATCTTCCTGTATATCTGTCAAGAATAAAGTATTCTTTAATGTTTTATGTTTGGTTGACTTAAAAAATTTTGGAGTAGATGGACTATTGCAAACTCATATGAGGATCTCTAACAGAATTTTGCTTCTGCATACTTAAAATTTTTTTATGCATATAACTTTCATATAAACAAATTTTAATATTAAATTTACCAACCATTCAAACCTTGAAGGAGTGGTCAAGGTAAATCGTTTCATTTAATTGTCTTAAGGATTTCTAATTTGAATTTAAAGAGATCAGATAAGAGTAACAAAATGAATTGAAAGGAAAAAAAAGTGTAAAAAATCTGGTACTTGAAATAATTCAAAATCATAAAAGCTAAACAAAATACTATTGTATAGTTTGTCTGTGGTAAGAACTTCCCCCGTCACAAAGTCTGGAGCCGTCTGCTGGCTTCGAAACAAGAATAGCAAAATTCAGGGAGGGTAGCTTCTCTTCACTTTAGGGCTAAGACAATAGACCGAAGAAAAAGATTCGCTTTCTCTCGCCAAAACCTGTCCTAAACGGTGACCCCACACCCCTAGTGTAAATAGTTATACCTCATTACCACAGTTACTCCAGATGAATGGCTAGGGGAGTTCTTACTTTAGACAAACTATACATTAATGATGGAAACAAAATGAAGCATATCACATATTATTCAAATGCAATGGAAACTACTTACAGCCTAAGTCCACCTTTTAATCCTTCAAAGGTTCCAATTGAGCATTATGGTTTAATATCTCTTAATTTTTACGTCACATCTAACAACCAAAAAAAAAATGAATTGACAGTTTTGTAATAATCTCTATTAACTGTAGTTGAATGCCAGGTTTGGCAAATTTTTGACAATTAACAGTTTTAATCATTATATAAAAATCTTTTTGGCAATTGTGGAAAACCCAAAATTCTGGTGTGAGTATAATTGTAAGTTATTTTAAATGTGCAGTATTTATAAATAAACATACATATTAAATTTCATGTGATCAATAAATTATGCTCTTGAAATATTTTGACATAAAACTCATATGACATTAAACATTTGTTTTAACTATTACTGTAAAAAACCCAAATCTTTGGGTTTAAAATATTGAATAAATTTTAATAAGAATGTGTAAAATTGCTATTTATTCAATCCATTAATTTGTTTAATAATGAAAAATAAATCATCTTTTTCATTAAATAAATTTTCATTTACTCCCTTTTCATGCGATAAAAAAAAATTCAAGGCCCTCCTTTTCTTAGTTTATTTTTCAGTTTTGTATCTAAAACTTTTCTTTCAATTGATGCTGAGCTGCATTGACTAGAATGTAGACATATTAAAACTGTTATAACATAATAAAATAGCACACAATTAGAAAATTTATTCTAATAACTGTACTTAATTAAACCTTTGAATTATATAATTGGAAAAAGTAACTCATTTAACATGGTGCATAGCGTTTTTAAAAATTGCTAAATTTTCCCTTTTCGAAAATGAGAAATTTTTCTTTACTATATTAATATTAGCCACATATTATGCAAAAGTGTGCTTTTCAGATTGTTCTACTCAACGTCTTAACCACTCATTCAACCTCTGTCCATTTTAGCTTACATTCGGTCTGTAGTGTAAAAGCGTCAATCGTTTTACAGGTTTGATAAAATACTTTAGATTCCGCAGGTGCGCCTACTGAACTGGGTTTGTTGAGATTATTGCACTCACATGTGCAACTCTGCTGCATTTTGCAAGATTATCTCAATTTCAGGCTTCATTTTCCACCCTCTGATATTGAACTGAAAAATCTCTTGATCATTTTATAATATCTAATATAATCAAAAAAATAGTTGTCATAAACTAGCTATTTTATCATGATCATCGAAAATTATTCTGCATTTTGTTAATGTATTCAGTGCTTAAAAAGGTGCTAATTTTTTTATGGAAGATTTGGCTATACACCCTGTTTAAACAAACCATTATATTTTTTGTAAATTATAATTAGTTTACTTGTCAGGGAATATTCTTCAGTGTTCACCCTAAAAGTTTTTAGAAGGGCGACCCACTCCACCTGCCCTTTGATCTCTATAAATATTAAAATAAGCCACCATCCCTTAAAAACATTGTCTCTTTAAATTATTTTTTCAGGAAAATGTTGTTTTCTTAAAACACATAATTTAATGAAAAGTCCATTTCTGATTTATTTAGTTATTGATTATTACTTTTGTTTTTAATTTCATTATTTTAGTAAAAATTTTCCTATGTTGTCTAGTTAGATATATTATTCAGCCCTAGAGATATTCACACCTTTTATTTGGGAAGGGTACATAATTATGTTTTGTTGTAATTATACCATATTTTTAAAAAAATAAATATGTTCAATTTAAAAATGCATCCTTCTATTTATTTTTTCATAATTTTAAGTTTAAAATATAAAAAAAGGTTATAAGCTAAGTTGTTTATAAGTTAATCCTTTTCTTTTTAAAGAAAAGTTATTTATACATAGAAATTGTCTTTTAGCTTGCCTTTAATTATCTTTCAAGAACTTCATATTTTTCTGTTACTTTGATAATGAGGGAGAATTTGTTTGTGAAATATACATAAAATAGTATAAAAGGGAAATTTAAAAATTGAGGATTAAAATCAGTTATTACACATTTTAATGATGGTGAATGGTCAGTTTCAAAACTCAAAAGTACCCTTTTCTGTGAGGGAGAACCCAGTATATTTCTATCACTTATTGGAAATATTCATGTACAGTGTGCTGGACCACCCTGAATAACTTTTGATCTAATTAATGATCAGGTTTTTGCAATCTAGGACTATATCTTAAGGGTTCGAGGAGGTGATTTCAAATATGTTAACAAATGCAGACAATATTCTAAGTTATAAAATCAGAGACTAGAACGTACTTTCTCTGAATAAACATACCTTTTTTCATCAGATAGATTTTTGATTAAAAAAATATAGATGGTTCTCGAAATTTGGGATAGGGCCCTTATACAGGAGAGACCAAAGTTTGAAACAGAACAAGTTGACTTATTTCACCATATCCAGCAAACCCAAGATAATTCCATGCAAAAAATAAATTTTAGTAAGTATTTACTATTTTTTATTACATTACTTAATAGTAGAGAAATTTTTTTGAACTGTAAGGCATAAACTTATTATATCATTTTAATTTTTAGTTGCAAATGAAAATTTGAGTGAAATCCGTCAACTAATTTCGCTCAAATTTTGCCACGTAAAACTGCAATATTTAAAATGACATAAAAAATTGGATACCTTACAATTCAAATTTTTTTCGTCAAATATTAAATATAATAATAAATATTTACTAAAATTTTTTTTTTGCATGGAATTATCGTTGGATAAATAAATTTGATAATTGGCTTCAAAAGTTCTTGAGTTATGGCGAAATATGCAAAAAGTAACTTTAACATGAAGGGGACCATATCTTACGACTACCCCTTTTATTTCGGGGGTCAGAAATTTGAATTCTTTAATAAAAGGTATGTTTAAGGAATTTTCCCCAAAACCTTGCTTACGCAATCAGGCATGTTCTGCTCCCCTCCATACAAGTAATAATAAAAAATATTGAGAATCAAACAAACAATCTTGAGATCAGACAACAAAGTTGAGATCAAACAATTATTAGTGACCACTTTAGTTTTACTTATTCTAAAAAAATTAGCCCAAGTAGTGGCATAAGGAATTGAACTCAATATATAGATTGATATTAACTAACAATTTATAGTTATTACATGATAAACTGAATAGTTTTAGATTTTAAATTATTAACAGTTTGAATAATTTTGCAGGGGTCTGTCTAGGTTTTTCTGAAAGGTACCGATTTTGTGAAAATTTAGACATAATTTGTGAAAAATTAAAAATTATATTACAAAAACATGGTAAAAATATAGATTTATCGTTTCTTAAAGGATACAAAAATAAAATTTTAAGAAAAAGTATTTTGTGAAACTACCGTTTTTCCTAAAGTTGAATTTGTGAAACTACCGTTTCACTTAAAATTGAATTTGTGAAGGTACCGCTAAATGGTAGTAAATTCGGCCTGGACAGACCCCTGTTTTGGCTATATTTTTTATACAGGATATAAGAATCATAATTATAGCAGTATATAATGAAAGTTTTGCGCATGATTTGATACCTAAAAAAATGTCCCCAGGCTTTCTTCAGTTTATGACACTTTTTGACGAGGCATGTCAAAACTCAACCCTATTTAATGCTCCTTGTTCCAGGGGTGATTGTGGATCCAAATCAAAAATTTCTTGTGTACAATTATTCAAAAAATTAATATCTTTATAAATTCAAATCATTGAAATTTTCAAAATATATTCTAAATGAATTATGTGCAGCATAATTTAAATGAATAATTATATGTAAGTTTACTTATAATCACATTTATTATTCTACCAGAAAAAATATCTACAAATGAAAGAGATGCAAAGTATAAATTCTAGTCCTAATATTTTTAAGTAAAATATACAAGAATTTTTAGACACAAATGTGATCGATGATTTCTTGAAACTTCTGAACTTGGATTTCCGTATAGTGAAAAATCCAGAGCACCCTCATCCCTGTTGTTCTATTGTACAAGAATTTAATTATATGTATTACATGGCACGTAACGTTTTTAAAAAGTGCTTATTTTCGATTTTTAAAAGCCCTTAAAGCTGCTTTTTTCATTAGGTATTTTTAAAAAGTGCTTAATTTTCCCGTTTGAAGATGAGAATTTTTTTTTTACCATGTTGATTTTTGCCACATATTATGCAAAAGCACGCTTTTCACATTGTTTAATTAAAATGTTTCACAATTCATCCGACCACAATCTATTTCGGTGTTCTGTCGGTCCACAGTGTATGAAAGCGTCTACCATTTTACATGTTTGATGAAATATTTGGGAGTACACAGGCGCGTCTACTGAGCTGGGTTTGGTGAGATTCTTGCACTCTTATGCATTTTGCAAGATATTCTCAATTTCATGCTTTCCACCTTCTGATATCAAACCTCTTCATCTTTTTATAATGGCTATTATAACCAAGAAAAGAGTTTGTCAGAAACTGGTTATTTTATCATGATCATGCAAAGTCTTTGAAAATTATTTGTCATTTCATTAATGTATATAGTGCTTAAAAATATTTTTGAGACCTTAAAAGGTGCTTATTTTTTGTTGAAAGATTTAATATTACGCATAAAAAAAAAAGAAAGATGCAACGAAAAGAAATTGATTGATAATAGACACTTTTCTACATTATCTGTTATTTTTTCTTTTATAGGGCATTATTCATAGTATTTTAAGACAAGTTTTAAACATTTTTGCCTCTTTAAATAATTTTTTGTTTTTAATTTTAAATATTTTACTTGCAAAGTAATTTTTCTCGTTATAAATTAGAGTAAACTCTAGATTGAATCTTGTTATTTTAAATATCCTCCAATAACAAGAATTGATCTTGAACAGAGATGTTTAAGATAAAAGAATTCACGATTGGACAGTAAATAATCTCCCACAATGGACTGATTGTTAAACATGGTTCCCAGTAGATCACAGAGGTCAAGCATCACTGACTGCAGTTAGTGAGTGGACTGATCAGTCTGCAAAGGGTCCAAAGGTGTGCAGTGTCTATCGTCACGAGACTTCTGTGCAGGTCATTTGCTTACCGAAGTAGGGGAGCCATCCTCTCAGAACGGGATCAAAAAAGAGATGACATGTGTTCGGATCACCTTCAAGAATATTTCCCACTCTAATTGTACATCTGCAGTGCGACGTAAATCAAGTACTACTACTACAATTAGTACCATCAACTAATAGTAGCAGTAACTACTAATAGTAGTAGTCAACTGTACTACTACTACTATAACTAGTAATAGTGGGAATATTTCCCAGTCTATTGTACAACTATAGTAACATAAGTAAATAGAATGACTTCCCATGTATCCTATTTCAGTATCATTAGAACTGTTCTTCACAACAAAAAGTTGACCTCACATATCAACTTATTTGATTTCAGGGGTAAACATGAGTAAAAGAAAACTTTTGTCTAAACTAAGAAAATTTAACTTATTTCATAACACTATGAAATAACCTAACCTAAGGGAAAAGTGCATTTATCACAAACTCGTGGAATACATTTGAAATTCTAGTTATTATGAATCAGTAGAAGCTGCAAACTATTCATTTCATTCATCATAGAGGATTACACTTCAGGGGTCTGTCTAGGTTTTACTGAGAGGTACCTATTTTGTGAAAATTTAGACATAATATGTGAAAAATTAAAAATGATATTGAAAAATCAACACAAAAACATAGTAAAAACATAGATTTATCGTTTCTTAAGGATACAAAAATAAAATTTTAAGAAAAAGTACTTTGTGAAAATACAGTTTTTCCTAAAGTTGAATTTGTGAAACTACCGTTTTTCCTAAAATTGAATTTGTGAAGGTACCGCTAAACGGTAGTAAATTCAACGTGGACAGACCCCTGCACTTGTTCCATTCATGCCTTTTGGTAATGGATATGTGAATTTTAAAATTGCCAATAATTGTGTATGAAATAGAATAATTCATTTGGTCAGATACTTAACTTTTACAACATATTTAAATAGTTTTATTTTCAGCAGAATTTTTAAAATTTATTCTTGTATAAAATAGCATGTTTTTTGTTTGCATCTTAAGAAAATTGATTTTTTTTCAAATTGCAATTACTAAATTTTAAAATGCTAAATAAGTGCAACAGAATATTCCAGCATCTCTAAACTGATTTTCAATAATTCGCTATTCCGAATCACCCTAGCAAAAATAGAGACCCTCACGTTGTATAATAATAAAAAACAATACCTTTGAATACCCAATATTGAATCTTTTGAATATGGGTTTCATTCTTACCTTAATTTCATACCTGTTAGCTTCATTGTTGATAACAAGTACCTTAAGCAGGCTTCCCATGATGCCTCAATGTTTCATAATAATAGCAGAAACTAGGCAGCAGAGTAATGTATTTTGTTAAAAATCGAGAAAAAATAGCAGGGGAAAGATCAGTACAATAATCTGGTGTGAAAAATCGGAGAGAGAAAAGTTTTGCATCCTTTTTTAACCCCTTTTCACTCCAAGCATTAAAAATTGCATCTATCAGAATTTCTAAAATTTTTCTTTGAATTTATTTATCAATTTCACTGAGATTAAGTTCAACTTTCTTCTTTAATATTTACAATGGAATATGATTAAAAAAAACTGAGACATCAAATGGATAAATGAACAGGGTTGATCACATGTAATTCTATGTGTACCTTTATAGCAGCTAATTCTTATTTTCAACAAAAAAAGCTTCTGTTTTAACAGTGAAGTTAAAATAGGCATATTGCTAGTCTAAAAAATGTAAAAAAAAAAAATCAACAAACTTGAGTCTTTTTTACAATATATATATTCTTAATATACATATATTCTTTCTAATTAGTTGATATAAAATATTACGTAAGATGTGGGTCTCCGACAGGATGGTAAAAATCTTAATATATATCACGTATGGTGTAATTTCGCCAATAACCATTGCTCCCAAGAATTATTACTGGTAAATCCAGGGTAAAATTGGATAAAGGATAAAATTGTAAATACGTAACTATACCATGTAAAAAAAAAATTAACCCAGAAAATCTACAACTACAGGCTGCAAGCTCTATCACCAAATCCACTATGTTAATCTACAATACAAGAAAAAATAAAAACAACCACATGTAAAAAACTTGACGACAACCATGTGTTAAGGCTGAAAAAGGAGATATCTCTGCACAGCGATTCGTCACGCCAACTACCATGCAAAAGATCTAAAAAAAAATAAAAATACGAACATATAGAAATTTTCCACATTATAGGTCGGTCCAGGCCAAATTTTCTACCATTTATCGGTATCTACACAAAATTAACTTTAGGAAAACTGTAGCTTCACAAAATACTTTCTCCTAAAATTTTATTTTTTTAAGAAACAATAAATTCATATACTTTACATTTGAGAGGCTATTGGGCATTTAAAGATATTACACAGTTAAACACCTTTCCGATTTTGAATTAAAAAGATAATTAATAAAACTGGTATTAATGAAAGATTCTTTGAATAAATTTTCCTCGAGAAAAATTAAACCATAATATTCGAACCAGAGAAATAAGCTAGTTTATTTATTATTAAGGTATTGCTTCATTCTTTAGTTATGAAGTAAGCCTTCTTAGTACAAGGCTCTGTCCAGACATTTTGCGAAAAGTCTTATTTTTGTAATTATGAAAAAAAAAAAAAAAAACTACTCATAATTTGGGAATATAAAATAAGTGTTAACTCACATTCTTTCTACCAGGGATCTGCTTCTGTAAATTTGTGCAAATAGGGTCCTTTAATTGCAAAAAACCTTGTTCAGAAGTTTTTCTGCTACTAAATTAGATATGTAACATACAATTATGGTATTTAGCCTATACCACTCAACACAGAATATTTATTTCGGACGAAAAATGGGGAAAAAAAAAACACTATTTTTAATCTAAATTTCTTCTACACAGACCCCTGTAGTAGTTTTAGGAATTAACTCTTTAAACTATATACATAGTTAGTTTTGAAAATTCCAGAACCAATACAACACAATTTTCGTTAAACTTATCTTTCTTTCATCTTATTCTTCAATTATCCAATTTTCGTAATAATATTGGTAAGAGATTACAACATGCAAGCATTATAAAAAATAACCTCAAGAAGATTAAGGTTTTTAACATTTATTCATTTCTGATTTGAACCTAAATTAAAATAAAAGTAGAGTAAACAATTATTATTCTTCCAATAATAAAGATTAATAGGTATATATGAATCACAAATGTATACAAACTATGCAAAATGAAATGAACAGAATATAATTAGAACCTGAAGAATTATACCAATTCATAGTAAATAAAACATTCACTAATCTTAGCTTTTCGTAATCTAATTTAGTCATGCAGTTATACTTACCTAAGAAACAAAATTCTTACAGTACTAATTTTTTAAAATTTGTAAGCTATAGCAGGAAAACGAAGGATCTATTAAAAACATACATCAATCACTTCGACCATTGAATGATTTGATCAATCGAATCTATTTCATAGAACAAATGGATTTGACAACAATGGCATCCGATTAATGAGAAAATACACTAAATAGTTCAGATTCATAAGATATACCATAAAACGATAATACTCTATGAATATGTCACTTTAAAAATATAATAATTACTAATGGCACGAAATTCTTTAATTACCTGAAACAAAGACCCAAACGACAATCATTCAAGACACAGATACTCCTGGTAAATATTTATTACTTTATACACAAAGTAATACACACAAGATGGAAAAATGTCTTTACAATAAACCAGGAACTTATAAGATCTTACATTTAGTTTTCGCTTACATCAACATTTTCTGTTTGAAGACCTTTAAAAGTTGTCACAGCCACGTGGGTAACCAATGTGTAAAGCTTGTGAATGGAATCCTCATCGTCGTTTCTCCTTCTAGACAACTGGACACGGACTCTGTATGGTACATTTCTAACACCTTTGGACCAGATGAATTTGTTCAGTCTAGTGTCGACTCGAACATCAGGAGTGCCCATTTGCTTTTCAGCAAACTTACGAATTTCTTTGATGGCACGAGGAGCCCTCTTCTTAAATCCGACGCCATGGAGACGTTTATGCAGGTGAATAGTATATTCTCTAGTCACAACTTCGCTCAATGCAGATTTACTTTTCTTTTCTGATTTAGGTTTTGCCATTTTTATATATTTTTAATTGAACAGGAATCACCAAATTGGTGTAAACCCTACAACAATTTTATCAAGAAAAAAATATGGAGTAGGTGGCGTTAGTGGAAGTTGTAGTAAATGTTAAAAAATGAGTTGAGTAGATTCACTCCTTCTGTCAACCATAAATAAAAAATTAAGAAGCTAAAATGTTTCTAAAAGCAATTTTAATTCAACATTTTTAAAATTTTTCCTCTTAAACAAATTTTTAAAGTTTTAATTAAAATTATTATTGCAAAGTAAAGTGAGAATAGGCCTGTAGTAATTCTTACTATTTTGAGTAGAGGGCGCTGCCTGCAAACGAAACAAAAAGTAAATAAATAGTTAAAATAAATAGTAACTAAAATTAGGGAGGTGTGGTTGTCAAGTTATCAAAATAAAAAATCAACCGCAGGTAAAGTTTGACAAAGTATAGATTTTTTCTTTCATTGCCGAAAAAATCGTTTTATTTTTGTAATGTTTCTATTGCTGTAAAATGCTCGCACATTTGTTAGTTTGGAATGAAAGAGTTTTCCTAATTTGCGCTGGGTCTGGATTTTTATTTTTGGGAATGCGTAGTCACAAATAGAATGGGAGAAAGGACGAATATCTCTTTGAGCACAATTTTTTTTTGTCCTTGCTGATGCATTCATGTTGTTTGTGACCTACTGAAAGGCATTTTTCCAAAGGGAGCGTTTGTAATGATATCCTGATCTTTTTGCTATGGTTATCGAAGTTACGAAAGAAATCGATGTTGTACGAATCGGGATAGACAGATACTCCCTAAAAACCGGCTGTAATTTTAAAGTAAGTTTCTTAGATTTCAGCTTGAAGTTTGAGCTGCTGAACTACTTGGGAAAATATCAAAACATTAATATTTTTTTCTTTTCATATTTATTTTCTTTCTCTTACTAAAAGTTTATCTGAAAAATAATAAGTAATTTGAATAAAGCAAACTGAAAACAGTCGCTTAATTTAAAATTTGATTTTGGAAATGTGTCGAAATTTAACATTTAACAGCTATAAGACATTATAATTATTCTATTTATGTTTAACTTTTGTTGTTTCAGAAATGTGCTATTTTTTCTATTTTGATACATACTGCTGTGCAATAAAAAAATCATCATAAGCGGCAAATAATTTAAGAATGATATTTTTATGTATTTGGCAATTTAATATAATAAGCTACATATTGCAGAAATAAAGTTTAAAAAATCAATTTTTGTTTAATTAGTTTTTATGGTATTAGAAAAGGAAAGAAAATAACTATCAAGCCGCTTTTTAAAAAAAAATCTATCTTGAAGTAAGAACACAGTTTTTTCAATTGCTTGGTAGTATAAGTTAGTTTTATTTATTGGGTAATTAATTATCCATAAAATGTTATTTTTTTCCATGAATATATAAAATAGGTTTTAGTGAAAAAGAAGTGAAACAAATGTAATGCTGTAAGTAAAGCAAGAGAAACAAATGATCGATTCCGAGTTACAAACTGGAGTGTTACTTCTACATTGCTGCAGGAAATTTAAATTATGTGACTTAAAATTTTAATCTCGATCATCAACTTCCAGCAGGTTTTTCAGAGCAAGCATTACAGTCACTGGCTAAATTATTAGATGCTCTCTAAGATTCTATGTAAAATCTTAATTATCAGGTGATATGTACTACTCAACTTTATTGTTTTTATGCAACTAAAACTAGTTTGCTCTTGTTTACGTTCGCGTATCAATCAGTTAAATTAGACAATATATTCTATAAATTCGACGATTATATAAATAAGACGATATATTATAGAAATATAGAATATTTAATTTATCAGGTATCATATTTTTATATTGTAATAATCCTAGATCAAATTATTAGACACACTTTATTTTTATAATAATTACATGTTTTGCACGAGCTTATATGCAATAATTTTATATTTAAACATACATGTAATTGATTTTTATTCAAGATATTTTTTATATACTTTCTATTTGTATTTATTTTTAAAGTATTGCATTGCAATGTTAACCAATTGATACACGAACGTGAACTAGTGCAAACCAGTGTCAGCTAGGTAAAAACAATAAAGCTGCTTATTATTACCTGATAATTAAGATTTTACACAGATTCTTATAGTGTGTCTAATAATTTGACCAGGGACTACTGCATCTATCAGGACTAATGCGTCTAATGGGTTCATCACATTTGCTTGATGTAGAGCTGTGGCTGGTAGTTGAAAGGATTGACTCTGAAGAGAGCTGCTTCCAGTTTAGTAGAAATGGCACCTAAGATATTAAAATAAAAATAACATTGCAGAGTAAACTCAAAGGCTAAAAAACCGCAGCTATCTCTATGCTTGCCACTATATATATAATCTGATTCCTAGTACAAGAAGGAGGCAATGACTCTTTGGAGATTGCATTGACAGAACTAGTTACCAATATTGGATTGTTCCCAAAATTTTCTTACTTCTACTCTACTTTCTCCTGCTAGATTATTAAACATGCCAAAAATAATTGCTTTGTTTATTCTCTTCTACTACAGTTTTATACACACTTTCTAAATTTAAAGTGTGATAAACAAAATGTAACACAAATGTGAAAAATTAAGACAGCAGTACATTTTTTTGTTGCAGCTCTTTTTTTAAAAAAATACATATGTAAATGATAAAATGAATAATTTTAAACATATTACTAAATGCTCTTGTAATTATACAGATTGTTTTAAAAAAAGTGTAGATTGTTGTATTTTTCAAACCAATATGATCATTCTTTGTTTTAATATTGCTTCTCATTTTTAGACCATCATGGATTTAAGTGTAAGAGTAATGAAAGAACCCAGAGGATTCATCAGGGTTATACAGTGTGTATGTATAATTTATACTTTTATTTTAAATGTAATTTTACTTAAATTTATTTTATTTTAAGCAATAATAAGCATTGTCAATTCGGGTTAGTTTTAACAAGATAAAACTTGTCTTAGAAAACTTAATCATCAATCAAGCTGTCAAAAATTAAAAAGTAAATAAATACTTAAATAAAGAATTAAATTGTCTTCCTTCTTTCATCCATGAACATGGTTTGCGGGCAAAGGGGTAAAAGAGGGGTATGTCTCACTTACTAATTAGAAATTGTTAGAAGGTCTTGTCACCCAATTTTTTCAAACAAACTAAAAAAAAAAGAAATTCCAGGATTCATCATAGATTTAAATTTTTTTTAAGACTAAGTTTTTAACAAATCATCCTCTCAAGAATGTCTTCAAATTAGGATATAAATAAAATAAGAAAAAAGATATGTTAAGAAATTTTTGATAATCTAAAATGATATGATACATTAGATAAAAATAAGGCAACATAACATTTTCAGATTTTTATGTTAGATTATTATGCTGTGTTAAAGGTAATTTACAAAATCGGTAACAAGGGTGATTTACAAATTTGCTGTTTATTGGAAACAGGATGTTTATTAATGATTACCAAGAAAGCTGTTGATGTTACAGGATTCCAGGTAATTCCTAAACGTTGGATTGTTGAAAGAACGTTTTCTTGACTCTCCAAATTTAGTCACATGAGCAAAGATTATGAGCATTCTCCTCTTACTTCAAAAAAAAAAAATACAGTCGAACTCGCTTATAACGAGCTCGGATTTAACGAGAACTCGGATTTACCGAGGGAAACTAGAATATTTGGTTGGATCAATGTTAAGTCTATGGAACAGAAGTCGCTTTTAACGAGCAATACCCGGTTTTAGCGAGCAATATTTTTCTGTCTTGCAATCTTTTTTCTCATCTTTCTAGTCTTTCTGTCTTATCTTTTTTTCAAAATGATAAGAAATGTGCGCTAAATAAAAAAAAACGTGATTAAATTAATTAATGTAATTAAAGTAAGTAAGTATTAATTAAATTTTAAGTAAATTCAATCATTTGACCTCCCAAGCCCCCCCCCTCTTCTGGTTGCACGCCTGCCTTAAGGACCCGTTTATTACGAGCACTCGGATTTAACGAGTACATGTTACGATCCCTTTGTGCTCGTTATAAACGAGTTCGACTGTATCTTCTTTAATATGATTACTTCTATGCATACTAAATTATCAAGACAGGTAAGTCTTTTCAAGATAGGTTCTAAGGCTGATTATGAGACAAAGATGGCAGAACAAAATTTTTTAGATGGAACGTGATTTAAAAAAAAAATATTTTGGAATAATATTCTAGAATATTTAGAAAATATTTAAAAAAATAGTTATTATTGCTTAAATATTTAATATTTTAAAATATTTTTATCCAAGCACATTATTTCTTTCAATGATATAGAGAAGTTGCAATTTTCCTAAGTGCATACAAATACAGTTTTTGTAATTAATTATATGCAGGAAAGGAAGATTGTTGTGCAAGTGTATCTAAGTTGATAGATGTATTAAAATTTTTTTTCTTTCAAAGTGCTAAATTCTTTAAGAATAATTTAAATATGCACAAATATATCCTATGGCATACCTTAACTTTTTGTTTTATTACCATTGATATGCCAACCGGCATTGGTCCACAAACACTATTGAAGGGTCCACAATCTTACTACCACAGAAGGAGAACTTTTTGAACTGTCTTCAGATCTAGGATAAAAATTTAATTTATAGAACATATAATCAGTTCTGGATAAAAACTAGAAAATAATTTCATCTTTATGCAAAATAAAACCTTTTTTTTTTAACTTTACACCAGCTTTAGTCAGCAACAAACAATACAAAAATGTCTTAAAATTCTATTATTTATTTTTATTGTTTTTATTTGTTTTATATTTACTTGTATTCTATTGATATCTTCATATGGTTATATAATTTGGTTTCGCTATTTTATTATTTGAATAGCGGAGTTAATATTTGTATTAGAATTCATTTAAATTGTATTTAAATAAAGATTCAGGCTCAAAATATTTTTTATTGTAGAGAATATGTGAGTGCTTGTGTGTCAACGAAACAGTGATAAAAAAATTGTTTACATATTATAGTTTTATATTTGTATAAACTATGCCAATAGTCCATATCACTAACTGTACTGGTCTACGATAAAACACTGAACTCACCAGTTGTTTCATAATATGATATATCATATCAAATGGGTTATTTCATAATATACTTTTATATCCTATCACCACCAGTTATTTCATAATATGATATTATCATTTATCATGATATATCATATGGGCCAAACTGCAATGATAGGTCTTTATCATTTTTTCTCTAACATTTCAAAATGTTTTGTGAACACTTGTAACTTATTCCATGTTACAATCTCAATGTAAAATTTCCTTTTTAGGTGTTTCTAAACACTCTTCAATTTGGAAAACGATCAACTATTTTAACAGGGTTGCCACTCCACAGGGAATTTAAAAATCACCCAAAATAACAGGGAATTTCCATTTTTTCTTTACAAACTGGGAAAATACAGGGAATTTTGTTCCTCATTTTTGTCTTTTAAAAAATGTGACCACTCAAAGCGTAATTTATGCGATATTTAACTGTGATATTTCAGCTATACTAAACTATTTAATTTACTATAGCATTATTTAAGTATGTTCAGTTGTTTTTCCAGCAAATAAAACTATTAAATATAGTTAGCCCATTATAACTCACACAAGAGCACAATAATTGTTGTTTCTTCATAATATATTGTGTATAATATGTACAGCGAAAACACTGGGAATTTTTTTCTCCATATTCGAGTAGCAACCCTTTTAAATAATTTTTAAAAATTGTTGTCAAGGAGACACTGTTAAAATTATGATGGTATTGCCAACGTAATGGATAAATATTATGTTGCTAATGAGTTCATTTTATCAAAAGTTTACTTTTATTTTCTCATTGAAATTATAGTGTGTCTAATATCCTTCATGACTAATTTGTAGATTATGGCTATTCTTGCCTTCTCTACTACTGCAGGATTTTCTACTTCATGCGAGTTTTCAATATCATGTGGTGATGGTAAAATAGTCGATGTGAATTATACATTTGGTTATCCATTTGAGTAAGTAATTTAAGCGCTACTATTTCAATGTCTTTTTACAATTTCAGATCGATTTGTTTGCATAAAAACATTTCATTCTTATTATTTATAAATATAAGAAAAATTCTTTGCTATTCATAGATTTTATATTTGTCAAACTGTTCAGTTTTTAACATTTGAAATATGTAGATCTTTTTCAGTTCAATTTTTAACAATTTTCGAGCAGTTGCAGATAATGCATTTATGTTCATTCTTTTTTTAAAAATTATCACAGGTTTTATACTTTATACATTATATTTTANTTTGAAATATGTAGATCTTTTTCAGTTCAATTTTTAACAATTTTCGAGCAGTTGCAGATAATGCATTTATGTTCATTCTTTTTTTAAAAATTATCACAGGTTTTATACTTTATATTTTAATGTATTTACTTACTATTGTATTTATTTATTTATTAATGTATTATTTTAATATGTATTATTTATATATATATATATATTAATATTAAAAAGAATATTTTGTAATTTCTGTTGTCAACTTTTAAAAGAAAGTAGCACTTATAGTTGGATGGAACAAGGTGACAATGTAGAACATACCTTAATAATCCTACATGTTGAAAACATAACCTTTTTAAAACAGTAATTTGAATGAATTATAAATATATTGCATAAAAAATATGCAATATATTTATTTTGCAATATATTGCAAAATAAATATATTGCATGCTGACTTGTAATGAATGATTTATTACTTGCATTTATTTGTAATCTTTGTTTTTCTATTTAATTTTACTATCTAACATTGATTGTTAATTTATTTGCAATCTGCTGTGGATTAATTACTTGGTAAGTTTCTTTAAATTAGTATATTAATTCTGTTAGACTCGTCAAAATATTTGTTTTCTTTGAAATATTATTTCTAACACAAAAATAACATTATTGAAACTGAAGTTAAAACTCCTCTTTGTAAAATTTTGTCAAGTAAAATTGTTTGACCAAATTTTGAGAAGTAAACTTAACTTTATTTCATTACAGAATTAAACTTTGTTTCATTACAGAATTGTAGAGAGTTTTGTAGATTATTTTTGCATGTCCTAGTGTTTGCCCCATTTTAATACCAACACAGATACTTCTTTTTTCCCCCACTATTATTAAGCTTAATTTGTTACATTGTGTGCATAGTTTTCATTATTTAAATCAGACTTGTGTAGAAAAACTTAATGTTTTCCATTGTTTGGAGTAAAGGGTAAAGCTTATTGTTACATAATTCTTTAACCTCCTCATTAAATTTGCCTTCTTTATGAAAACATTCATTATGTTTCTTGGCATTGATTTTCCGTACTAACATTCTTCCTTTTTTTTGTATGACTCTCAGTTTGTAACTGCAGAGATGACTGTGCTCTGGAAAAAATCTGGATTTCAGGATTTTTAGCTAATTGTGATCTGGAAATTTAAAGAAAACATCGATCACAATTATGCATGTAAATTCTTGTATATTTTATTTAAAAATATTTGAACTAGAATTTATACTTGACATCTCTTTCATTAGTAAATATTTTTTCTAGTAGAATAATAAATGTGATTAAAGATAAAAGTAAACTTGATTTTTCGCTAACTGTGATCCAGAAGTTTCCGGAAATCCACATTTGTGCATATAAATTCTTGTGTATTTTATTTAAAAATATTCGAACTAGAATTTATACTTGACATCTCTTTCATTAGTAAATATTTTTTCTGGTAGAAAAATAAATGTGATTAAAGATAAAAGTAAACTTATGCATAATAATTCATTTAAATTATGCTGCATATAATTTATTTAGAATTTCATGTTTTGAAAATATCAATGATTTAAATTAATGATGACATTAATTTTTTGAAATGCGTCATTAATGATTTTACTTGAAAAATTTTCAAGACTTTTGAGTTGGGCTCACAATCACCCCTGTAACAGCCTTTAAGAAAATTTAGATCAGAAAATGTTTTTGTTTGACACAGCATAATTGATATTGGCTCTTGAACCAAAACTCTACATTGAAGCCTATCCATAGATTTAAATTATTAAGAACTCTAACATTACATTAAGAACTAAACATTAAGAACTCTTACAACAGCAATTATTGTTGGTCATGGAGGTTAAGTATCCACACTTTTAAGACCAAATGTATGATAGGGACAATATGGTCCGCATTGTGTGCCCTATTACCACACAGCTGAAATGGGGCTGTGACAAGTATTCGGCCTTTTTGCTGAATATTTCGGTAATTTAATAGTAATTTTTGTTATTTAATAATAATAAATATTTTTTAGCAAAGTTTTTTTTCCTTTTGAATTTTAATAGATTAAATAATGAATAATCTAAAATTATATTTTTAACAATACATTATTGGAAAGAATTTTTTCACATTAAGTTAAGTTCTAAAATTCACGTGTTTGCATGCAGCTTCCAAATTTATGTTCTGGAAGACACTCTGGAAGAAAAAACGAAATTTGAAGAATTTAAACTAGATTACTTTATACTGAACAGAGAATTTTTATACCATTGTTTTTTTTAAATTATATTTATGCAAGCCTATTTTGTTGTTTTTTCCCAACATTCTTTGTTTTAAGAATTGAGAATCATTATTTTTTTTTCTTTCTTATTTCATTTTTGCAGTTTTAATTATAGCACAGCATTTCAATGTAGTGTTTTTGATAGACTTTATTCTGTTATTGTCACTTTTTTTCTGTGCCATATAACAGTTAACCAGTAGCATAGAAAACTATGAAATAGAACTTTCAACAATAAAATTTTGTTTTTTGAACTAGAAATTTTTTTTCTGTTTCTCTTTAACTTTTTTTTGAAAATTAACTTTTCTTTTTATCATTTTTTTTAAAGCACATTTTTAAAAAGCATTTCTAATAAATTTTATTCTATTATCATCACTTTTTCTAAAATTATGGCAATGTGAAAAAGATAAATAAAGTTTTTCTGTTTTAAATGTTTTTCTTTAATAAAAACGTTTCTGTAAGACTTTATTATTCACTTTTTCTTGAAAATGCAGTAATTGGAAAACTAAGATGTTCAGCTTTAAAATTTACTTCTGAGAATTTGCATTGATTTTTATTTTGCCTTTGTGTATAATCTTTTATTTTTATTAACATTTTCATAACAGCTTGGCATTTTAAAAGCAATTCTGATAGATTGTATTTTTTTTAATGATGTTTTATGGATACTTTTTTTTCGGGAAATATTATTTTTAGCATTGAAGTAATGTTTTAAGAGGATTTTTATTTTCTATTTCTCTTTTTAGACTTAACATTTTAAGTTTTTTTTGTAGCTGTTTATCAGTTTTTTTATTTATCTTAAATTTTTTTTATAGATAACTATTAATAATTTTTTCCCCTTCATATTTATTTTTTATATGAAAGCTAACATTTTGAAAAAGCTTTTTCCTTTTATTGGTGTTTCAACCTTAAATCTCATTTTGTTTTGTATTATGAAAAACGTCAATTTTTGGTGTTGTGTTAAATAGCAAAGTGGAAAAAAGTTAAAACAATTTATTTATTTTATGTTCCTCGGTTGTGCTTGTTTCCAACTTTACAATTTAAAATTTTTATTTATTTTTCAAATTTTGAATTTTTTTTAACATACCAATATTATAACTAGGTTTTGATTATTTTTCAATAATAACTACATTTATTTGTATTTTTTAAAGAAAAATTATTTGTTAGTGATTTTTTAAAGAAAAATTATTTGTTAGTGATTTTTAAAAAAAAAATTTTTGTTGCAGAATATTCGGTGTTCTGCCAAATAACTGTTTGTTACATCTCTAATTTGAAGTTGGGTAGGCTTCAATCTATTAGTTTTTAATAAAAATTTATTTATATAGCTTTATTTTACATGCTGAAATTCCCACTACTTATGAAATAGGNTTTTGTATTATGAAAAACGTCAATTTTTGGTGTTGTGTTAAATAGCAAAGTGGAAAAAAGTTAAAACAATTTATTTATTTTATGTTCCTCGGTTGTGCTTGTTTCCAACTTTACAATTTAAAATTTTTATTTATTTTTCAAATTTTGAATTTTTTTTAACATACCAATATTATAACTAGGTTTTGATTATTTTTCAATAATAACTACATTTATTTGTAATTTTTAGAGAAAAATTATTTGTTAGTGATTTTTTAAAAAAAAATTTTGCTGCAGAATATTCGGTGTTCTGCCAAATAACTGTTTGTTACATCTTTAATTTGAAGTTGAGTAGGCTTCAATCTATTAATTTTTAATAAAAATTTCAAAAATTTATTTATGTAGCTTTATTTTACATGCTGAAATTCCCACTATTAATGAAATAGGTTGTTTGAAATAATTATTTTGTGTTATTTTAAATTTGCTTCTCACTCGCTCTTTCTGTTTACAATGTTGAAATCATTTTTTTATTTTTAGAAAATCAGAGCTGCTGGTTCCTGACACCTGTGCCTCAAATGAACGACTGCCTTTAAAGCTGCCATTTGACTACTCAACCATTGCTGAGTTTTATGTTACTACTGGAGTTTTAGCATTCTTGTATACTCTTGGTATTTTAGTAGTATACATTTTTTTCCACCAGTCCTATTCAGAAAACTCTAAACTTCCAGCTTTGGTAAGTATTCTATTTTTATTTAACACTAAACATACCAACACTTAATGTATACCTATTTCTACCCCAGCTGGACAAAACTTAATGTATACCTATTCATTAGTATACCTATATCAACACTTAATGTATACCTATTTCTACCCCAGCCGGACAAATGACCAGACTTTATGTTTCTTGATTGAATGTATGACTTATGAATGTTAGGAAGGAAATAAACAAAACTTTATTATAATTAAACAAAATTGTATATTGCCAATTTTTATGTATTACAAACACGAAGAATAAGAATTTTTAATTCATTGCAAAACACATTTTTTACACATACAGGGTGTTTCCTTTGAACATTTAACGCAAACATATTTTTCACATTTAAAACAAATTTTGGTGGTTTCCTGTCATTACAATGTCCTATTTGGCATGTCTTACCTAGAAAAGAAAACCTTTTTCAGAAAATTCCTCTTCATCAATTTCCGAAAACTCTTCTCCTATATTATTTATTTCTTCTAAGAACTTGTGCTGTCTTGATTGTTTCAACATTTTTCTGGGTAAAAACTGACCTAAGTACTTAGAAATGAAGTAAAGCTATCAAAATGAAATGTAAGCTACTTACCAAAACTTTTAGTTTTTGTCACTTTTTCTGACACAAAAATGCCAATCTAAAAATTTAGGTATTTGCTTGAAATTTGAATTCATGGTTATTCTGATTGAACTAACTAATTATGCAACAGTTTTTGCTGAAATATGCAACTAGTCGAGCGCAATCCGTTGACACACATTACATCATAATTTCTGATCTGATAATTCAAAAAAGCAATAAATTGTTCCTCCGGTCAAATGACCGGTTGTGCCAGAAATAGGTATGACACGTATTATTCGAAACAAACAAAACACAAAAAAATAATAATAAAATATTATCTGTATATAATTTTTAGAAAAAGTCATGAAGGCAAATGTGCTAAAGCGATAAGATGATATGCACATTTTCGATGCATAGTTTAACGTTAAATGCAGTTTATAGGTATTCAGGAAACACGAAGCACTGATATTTTATGACTATTATAGAGAAATATTTTCATTTTAACTTTAAATTTGGTTTTTAATCGTTGATTCTCTTAGTAACGGTCTATGTTCCAATGAAAAAGGAAATAATTTCTTGAGGTCATTATATTATATATATTTGCAAGAATAACGCAAATGTGTGCTAATAACGAGAAACACTGAATATCATTTGACAAATCAATGTTTTAAAAGAAACTGTGAAATTACTCAAACCAGCAGATTAATACAAGTATGAAAACATGCTTTTATTTTATGCAATTTTCATTTATTTTTGAAAAGGCAGAATGTAGTAATCAATAAAAATAACTCATTTTACTATGAAAAAAAAAAGATTTAAAGTGAATTTTTTTAAAATTTGAAATGATATGCATTGCTTGGGGAAGATTTCAATCTCTCTGATTATACCCATAATGAAGTGAATATTGTATGTTTTAAATATGTTTAAAAATATGTATCAAGTGGAACTGATGTATTATAAAAAAAATGTGACAAAGTAAAATTTTCTTCAGTTTTCATTCAAAACTATATGAATGATGATTTTTTTTGTTCATGTTTATGAAAAGAAAAACTATAACAATTAAGTATGTTTTTCTTCATATCTAATACAGGGCCAGTGTTAAGCATTCGCTCACTACCTCGCCAAATGCGATGAAATCATAAAATTGACGAATAAAATTGTTGTTCATTTACGTCGCATGAGAGCTGCACAATGGGTTATTGGTGACGGTCTGGGAAACATCCCTGAGGATGATCCGGAGACATGCCATCACAATTTTGATCCTCTGCAGAGGGGATGGCACCCCCGCTTCGGTAGCCCGACGACAGGCACTTTACGGTAGAACAGTTTAACGAGGACCAATACCGCACGCCCTCTGTCCCTACGCAGGCTGATCGAAATGGTCAACCACTGACCATAGCCAGTGTTGCTTGACTTCGGTGATCTGCTAGGAACCGTGTCTTAACGATCAGTCCACTGCGGGACCGAATAAAATTGTGTTTTGGAGAATGATTTTTTTTCCACTGGAAGGAAAAATATATATTTAACTTGATCCTTAAAATTACGTGAAAATGAATTTTTGTAAACAAATCATTATTTTTTTTTATTCGACTACCGTAATTTTGAGTAGATACGCCTATTAGAATAACCAATTAGAATTGGATACAACTAATATAAGCCCAAATCTATATATATCTTTTTTATTGTGGATTGCACTTAAAGAATTTTCCATCATAAACCAAAATAAAGGTAGAGTTTTAAAACCTTATATCCAAGATTTCAAATAAAGAAACGCTCTTAACCCTTTATTGGGCCATTTTTTTTCTAGTGATGTTGTGTTAAAATATTTTTGAGATTGAAATCAATTTATAAAAAGATATTAATTTGATTTTTGGGGGCGTATACTGTAGAGAATTAGCTTTAAATTTGAATTTGTTTTTTTTTATAAATAACCAGTTTAATATATTTTGAGTGTATAACGTCAGTTAAAGTTAATGAAAAAAGTTTGAGCAACACACGCACACCCAAAAAAAAAAAAAAAATTTAGCTTCCCAACATATAGGCCACCCTTTTTTTTAAACCCATTCTAACGTTTGCTGTTACCCAAATTTATTGTTTGTGTGCTTAATCCGAACTAATCAACATATGACCACATAAATCATAAAATAGCATCCCATTGATATTTAAAATTTAACAAAGTTGTTAGAACAGGCTGCGTTGCTAAATTATTCAACTGAAAACAAGCACTCAAAAAATATAATCAAGCAGGGAAGTTTTTGACAATGGACGGTTTTATCTTTATTAAACCGTCCTGTCAAAAAAAAAAAAACCTTTTGGAATTGTTTTTAACAATTGTCAAAAATCATGAAATTTTGAATCATGTAAAACGAATGGCGTTTTCATACGCTACGGACTGACAGTACACCGAAATAGATTGGGGTTGAATTAATTATGAAAACGTGGAATAGAACAATGTGAACTGAGTCTTATTGCATAATTCGAAGCAAAAAGTAGTAAAGGAAAAATCTCATTTTGAAAAACGGAAAATTAAGCACTTTTTAAAAATGCTACATACCCTGTAGAAAGAGTTAAACACTTTGTAAGACTATGAGAAGTTAATAGATTATAGGCTTTACTTTGAATAATTATTATTTACTTTGCTATAACCCTTTAGTTTTGATCAGAGTTTGTATGCTAAATATAAAATGTTTTATAATGTTAACAGGATTTATGTGCTACTGCAATCTTTACCATATTTTGGATGGCAGGATCGAGTGCATGGGCCCAAGGTGTGGTTGATCTCAAATACTACATGGATCCTGCTACTGTAATCCAATATTTATTTATATGTATAAGGAACCATTCTGAGAACAATTGTATGACAGAAGATGATGGCTCTTATGGAACTCTCAATGCATCTCTAGTAAGATTTCTTTTTAAAATTCTTCATTCTTATTGCAAAGTTGTTCAATGACCTCCAAACTGAGGGCAGTTAAGAATTCAATATAGTCTTCATTTTCTGTTGTCACCTTTAACCGCTTCCGTTACCAATTTTTTTGAAGAAAAAAAGCAAAAATTGAAATTTTTTTTATTTTATTAATGAATACAAGGAACTAAAACAAAGCATAATACAAAAGTTCTGAGTAGTTGAAATTTTTTTGTGTAAAAAATATTTAATTTCCTATCAGTTTACTATCCCAAATTATCTTGTGCAAATGAAAAAAGTTAAAATATTAGTCTTTGTATCTATTCATAATCTGAAAAATCATCTGCGTTACTTTCGCTCGCAAACGCTATTTTTTTTACTCCTTTTTTTTTTTGCTATGTAAATTCAGAAACCATTGTATATACAATTGCGCAAAGCCCGTCTGCAGTTCCACAAACAGCAAAACCCCCAAACAAAAATTGGCAAGCTTCCAATCACAGCAGATTATCACTTTTTGCTCTGCATCTGGCGAAATAAAAACTTAATAAAACAAAATGTATTGACGAATTCTGCTAGGCCCCAGTTTACTCGGGATAATAAATATTTACATAACCGAATTAACTCGGGATAATCAGGGAAGCGGTTAAGCTATTTTAAGCATTAACCACTATGCTCTAGTTTATCACTTCCGTTCTGTAATTCTTACAGGAAGTGAAAACGACTTCAGTTAGATATTTTCATTTATCAGTATATTTTGTTACAAAAGTACTGAGCCAATTTTTGCTCTCTCAGAGAAAAATGTGTGCTGGAAAAGCAGTACTTTACTCTTATTGCAAATTAAAACTACTGCTTTTTCCAGTAGTATTTATTTATTTATGGTTGCAACTCTATTCATTCTCTCTATAAAATATATCTGTTCTGATGCTGAAGGGAATGCAGTGAAAAAAAAATTACTGTATTATCTATAACTATCTAAATGAGCGTAAAAAGTTATTGCCAGAAGACAACTGAAATCAGATTTGGAAAGTGTGCTTTTATATTGATTCTAACCTAGGAAACACTAATTGTTCAGTGGGATACAAGACTTCTTTGGGGGCAAAGGCTTTTCGCATTTGTCATTAGTTTGAAAAATTATGCAAAAAATTCTTAGTTTCAGTCATCAAAATATTACAGGGTGCGTAGCCAAATTTTTCAACAAAAAATAAGCAGTTTGAAAAATATCAGACAGTTTTGACAATTGCTGGTTTTGTTTACAGTGACGAAGAAGCCACAAAAGATGAAAGTAACAAGATAAAGGAAATTTTTTATCACTAATAGAGAAAAAAAATGGACATTGTTTAGTTGGTCCCCGTAATTAGCAAAAATTCGAGAGATTTTTCGATTCTATTCCAGTGGGCGGAAAATGTTGTTTGAAATTGAGAATCTCTTGCAAAATGCAGCAGGGTTGCACATGAGAGTATAAGCAAGTATTTCATCAAATGTGTAAAACAAATGGTGCTTTCATACACTACAGTTCGGCGGTATGATAATAGATTGGGGTTGAATTAATTGTGAAAATGTTGAATAGGACAATGTGGCGAAAATTAACACGATAAAGAAAATATCACATTTCAGAAAAGGGAAAATTAAGCACTTTTTGAAAACACTATGCACCCTGTACTATATTCTTCATTTTTTTTATTGACAATTGTTTTTTACAAATAATATATGGCTTTCTTTTAATGAGTGCAATATTTATTTATTAACCAAAAAGATGATAGGGTATATTTTGTGTGACATAGACTAAAGCAAAGAGCGTGCGAATAAAGCACTAAAAATTCACATAAACCAAAAAGAATTAAATTTTTTTCATGCCATTGTTCATTACTGCACTTATTCACATTAATGCCAATTTCTTTGTGCTTTTATTCATGTTTTTCTGCTTCAGACTAATCATTTATTAGCCCTTGTTTTCAACTCATTCAATATATTTTTTTTAGATTCTTGGTTTTGCTAATTTCCTGTTGTGGTTGGTGAGTTTATGGTTTATTTACAAGGAAACAGATTTTCACAAAACTGACCTGCCTCAAGATGCTCCTCAGAATCAAATACCCAAAAGTGTTGGAAGGCCAGTTGACATCAGGAAAGTGTAAACTCATTTTGTAAGATGTGCGGTGAATGTATCTTATTAACACTTAAGGAAGTGTTTATTTCACATAATGTACATTTTTTTTCTTCATGATTACATAAATTATTCATCTGTTTATTATTAATCACCAAAGAATGGATTTTTTAGTGCTGCAGTAATTTTTTTTTAAAATATGGGTACAGTTTATTACATGTAAAATTTTAGAGCTGATGCACTATTATCAACATCTGAAGTCTTAAAAGAGAAAAAGTTCTGTAAGGGCAACTAAAATAAAACTAATTTAATGAAGGAAAATTAAATGTTATACGTCTTTTGTGATTAAACATTCAATTTAAACTTCATTGTTAACCAAATTAAATTTGATACTTGTAAATAAAGCATTAAGCCCTATTGTAGTACTCTTAAAAAATAATTATTGCACATAAAAATTACAAAAATGCAATAAAAAGTTTGTCTAAACCATTTCAAATATCACAGTAATGCTGATAATTTCAACATTTGTACAAATACAGAGGCGGGAAAAGCAGTTTAAAGAAAAATTTACTCAGTTTTGTCAGAAAAGTATAAATACCAACTTAGACTCTTCATTTAAAAATTGATATTTGTAATTCCTATTCAATAAAGTTATGAAATGATACTCAGTAAATAGTTAGGTTTAGTGTAAAATATTTATACATGAAGTAATGAAATAAATAATTCATGCATATTAGAGATTTGCTTTTTTTTTTTTTTTAAGATTGAGAAAGAATTGGTAGTTAAAAGTTTAATTTGACTTTAAAACTAGTTAGAGTATGAAGAAAAAGTTTCTGCAAGTTTCAGATCACTTTCCTAATTATATACAATTTTAATTTTGCACCTTAAAATCCATTCTTTTTTTTTTTTAAACACTATGTGTTAACCATTGCTCATTTTTACCAAATTCTTCTATCTTAATTAAATACTATTCATGTTAGCTATATTACTAATCAATTTTGAGTGATTTATTATCCAGATTTTAAGCACAAAATCCCAAGTATTTGTGGATTAAATTCCCCACCCTTCACTTCGAATGTTAACAGATTCATCAGAATTGACATATTAAAATTCAGTATTATTTAAAAATAAACTTAAAAAATATATGCTCTTTGCAATTATTTTTTTCTTTCAGAAAATGAAAATATATCCGTATATTATGGAATATTTATAGCCCATATTAAGTTTAATGTGCAATTTTTATGAGTTTATAATTCACCTGTATTAACTTTATAATTTTTAACTATTAACATTTTGTTTATAAGAAAGTATGATTAAATATAACATTAGGAAAAGGCCTTAGACTGTCAGGAAAAGAAAAATGAGTTATTTATACGCATTATATTCGACTTTATTTCACTGATTTAACGTAAATTTGAAGCAAGGCATAAAAATATACAATCTAGCAATTTTTATTTTTTAACAAATAAATTGAAATCATCATAAATTTTTTTGACTTTAAGTCTACCTCATTTTCCATCAAAATCAATTATTTAAAAATGCATGTTTTGTTATTGTAATTTTGACCTGTGATTATGCAAAGATTTATCATATAACATTATTACACACTAGTCCTTTTTATTAATTATTTGCACTGTTTATTTATGAGTTTTTATTTAAATATATTGGTGATGGTACTTAATCTTGTCATATTAATATTTTTGTTTGTTGAACTTGTACTTAATATTGATTTAGGACGTTAATAATCTAGAACAATTATCCTTAATATTCAATTGCAGCTAGCGAAACTAATCAGGATAACTGTATATATTCTTTGTACTTAAATATTGTAATGTTTTTGTCAGTTTGGAAATTTCAATGTGCCACTTAAATTGTTAAGTCTGCTATTTTATTTTTATGTTTTAAGAAAATTTATTGTTAGTCTTGCTTTTAAAAATCTATAATTAAGCAAATGGAATGAACTGCAATCGTTTATCAGTGAAATTCTTGTCTTTAAAGTGTGGTACTTATTTATAATTCTATATTCTTAAAATAGTACAGTATTTTGATTTCTATTTCAAGAATTTAGTGTTTAGATACATAGTGGGTAATTTTTTCCAGTGAAATTAAATTAATCAGAAATGTTTTTAATTTCCCTAACCACAATACCTATCAAAGTATTTTACAAGCATGTTTGATTTGTTGTTTATATGTCCAATTTATTATGCCCAAACACAAAAATTTGTGATTATATTCATTAATTTAAAAAATATTAAAGGCTTCATTCCAGCAAAAACTGCTTAATTTTTTTCTGTTAAGTCAAGACTAAAATTTTTGAGCTTATGTTTTGTAGTTAAATATAGCTAAGTTTTCCTTTTTTGTTATGTTTGCAAATGACACTGCCTTTAATGTAAATGAAATTGTGTTTCTCCAGATATGGAATGTTTTTTAATTGTGAGTCAAATAAATTGGCCAGTATGTTTGATACTTAGTTTCTTCATTGTTTGTTATTTCAGTACAAAATGTATTATTGACTTAAAATCATATAGTATTAAAAAAAAAATTATGGCAGTGATTTATGATTCTTGAAATAAAATTTTTATTTTGTAAGCTTTAGTTTATTCAAATGTACACTTTTAATTAATTTGTTTAGAGAAGCATATTATTGAAAACAAAAAAAACATTTTGAATTGATTTTATTTGCTATGCTTGTTTCAAATATGAAAAGTTTTCACTATTACTTACTATTTACGTACAGGAATCATAATAAATGATTTATTCTCCTTTATGAAAGAAATAATTTTGAATTTGTTTTGATACAAGATTCTACTAAAACATAGAAATTGCTCTTATATAGACTGAGTTATCCTATTGCATTCAGTTTTTTATAATAGTAATTAATCAAGCCCTAAGTCTTACCATTAAACCAACTATTTAATTATTCAAACTCAGAAAAACCGTTAAATTTAATCATAACAGAACTCTCAACCTATTTAAGCCTAAGAAGAGAACCATATTAAGTGAAAAGAATTTCAGTGGACCATTGATAGCTAAAAACAGGACTATTAATTACTAGAACTATTAAAAACTATTTACGTACAGGAATCACAATAAATGATTTTATTCTCCTTTATAAAAGAAATAATATAGTGAAACAGAATTTGTTTTGATACAAGATTCTAAAAAAACATAGAAATTTTATAATTAATTTAACTTTAAAAGTAGAATGATTTTTGAAACTGCTCTTTTGGTTGGAATTTTTAAAATCCAAACTAGTTTGAAATTTAAAAAAAAAAAAAAATTCACAGAGGAAAAATTAGAGGAATCCAATTTATGTGCTTCTCAAAACTTTTTACCACATTCCCTATAGTCGTCCTGCACATTTTAATCAATAGAAAAGGAACATCATTAGTACGAAGTGTATGAATGCATTTATTTGTTAATTATTGAGCAGTACATTGAAAAATACAAGTAACATTATGTTATTAGATCTGGAGAGAATAAGGATGATAAATGGAATATTAGTCAAGGGCAGTTTAAAGCGGATCAGGCCGGTTTTCAAACGGTATTGTGCTGACTCTGGCTAAATACAATGATTGTATAAATCATGTGGATATCAGCTGTAACAAAAGGGTAATTTGCTATCTTAGAATTGTAATAGAATTTTACGGTGGAAATCGGGCAAAAGGAAAAAAATAAAACTGGAATTGTGCTGTCTCATGGAAAAGTCAAATGTTAGAATGAATCAAATGAACACAAGCGACATGTAAATTTAGAAGTAAAGAAAACCGGCTTTGTTAACTTTACAAAACACACATAGAAAAACTTAATTAGTGAACGATCAACCAGTTTAAGGATTACAATATTGATGCAAGTATATAAATACAACAGTGCATGCAACTTCATAGCCTTTCCAATGATTTGAACAATGGAGAGTAGGGTGGGGCGCAAAAAAAGTTTTCGATAATCAAAAAGCACGGTCTTTTTAAAGTTGTACAAAAGCCTTAAAATTTTGAAATTTTTTAAAAAACTACAAATGTTTGAAAATTGTTACATAAAAACAAATTACCACACATAAATATATTAAATGAAATAAAACTTTCCAATTTTTCACTCCCTGTAAAAATTGTAAAATTTTACAAAAAGTACCATTTTTTAAAATTTGTCAGAAGAAAATAAAACACCTTGCAAACGTTGTGTATTTACTGACACATTACTCATGAATTGTTTGGAAATATTTCTGGTTCATTTTCCTCATTAACGGATTTTATTTTATAACTACAACTAAAAGTAAACAAGAGAAACTACACCATAGCATCTCAAAACTAGCATTGATGGCTGATTAACATCATGTATAAAATCACACTGCAGCATATATTTACATATTCAAGGAAGCTTATTCCATTAAACTGTTGGATCTTAGTTTCCTACGCTAAATGAAAGGACTTATAGGTACGGTAGGGAGCTATCTTTCATTCGAAAGTTTCCCAAAGGGCTAAAGACACCAAATTTGGTTGTCATTAAAAGAAACTGCTTGGCTTATATTCATTAAATATTTTTGATCTGTACTGAGATCAGAAATGTCATATTCTCTCATTTCTGACAAATCTTTTTCCGTTGTAACTTATTAGTGATAGGTGCTCGCAGTTGAACCTTTTGTTCTCTGGTGAGAAAAATAATCTAAGAACTCATTCACGGGTGAACCAGATAATTCTTAATATGTTGTAGTGATTTCCCAATTGAGTAAAACTCGTTTAGGGCAGATATTTTTCGAACTTCTTTTCAGTAGACAAATAACGCCTAATTCCATATATTTATCATAGTACAATCACAATAAGTTCAGAAACATAATTTGTTTCACTATTTAGAAAATTAAAAATAGATTCCTTTCTGATGCTGAAGAAGTTTACAGAAGGCAGAGTTGAAGTTACAGAATTCTTAGTTCTTGTATAATCGATATACATATTGTTTTATTTCAGATCTGCAATGGGAACACCCATTTTTGCCTACTTTATGATTAACGATTTCTTTTTTCGTCTATCAAAGTAAATATCTTGGGCTTCGTTTTTGTGCCTTATCTTAATTTTCATCCTAACTAAACTGCTATACCATAAAGCAGAGTAGTTTTGATTCTCAAAATTTTCTAAGAAAGTTTCAATTAGTGAAGGGAGTAGTAGTTCTGTTTTTAAAGGATTAAAATGTGGAATTAAGAGGCTCAAAATAAAAAAGAATGTGCTGCCCTAAAATATAAGTTTTGAAGGAAAAAAAAAGTCTATAGTTAACATAGACAAATTTATGTTAGCAACTGCTAAAACACAAAATAGAAAAAGTGTGGAAATTACTACTTGTGGTAAGAAAAAAGATGATTAAAATCACCAACATTTTAAAGTTATAACTCTATATGATAGACTTACCTATAGTATAACTCATATATGTTATATGGCATACTTAACAATAATAGTATATGGTACAGTTGCTGACCGGACATCAGAAAGGTTCCAGGTTCGAATCCTGTGCAAGGCAATGTTCTTTCATTCTTTGTACTATCTGTTCTTACTGTGGGAGTCCCATCTAATATGGTGCCCCTGAAAAAGTGGCCAACAAATCTGCCCTAGAAATAACTGAATGACAAGTGTCAATCAGGTGGGCGTTGGAAAAAAAACACAACAAACTTTCAGTTACCAATAGAGCATAGAACGGCAGAGGATGTTAGAATAATGGGTTTTCAATTCAACAAGCAACTGTAGAGATAAATTGGAACTGATTAAAATGTAACGAATCTTAAAACAACTGCCACCTTATACACAAGTACAGTAAAACCTTGATTTGCCACTCAGGGAAACTGTGGCATGTTTGAAAATCTAAACTATGGGATTATCGAAAACTTTTACAAGTGGATTTCTTAACTGTATAAACATTAAACTTTGATTAAAAATATTCATAAATATGCAACTGCAAAAATGAAACTTTTTTTTTCTTAATTTTTTAACTAAAAATAATGTCATGAAAAATCATTGATATCTTTTTTCATTTTGTATAATTTTCTACCAGATAAATTTTAGATTCATCGTTTCAACAGTAATTGGATTAAATTGAATATGGGGTTTAACTCTGCGGGACGAACCCAGGTTTGATCCCTTGCACCAATTATGGGTTGGGGGTCTTTTCCACTCCTCCGAGATTTTTGATTTTTCCAGAGAGTATAACTCCAAAAAAGTAAGTGTGGAAGAGGGAGTTGTTGTAATCCTGCAACCCTCCTTAGCTTGAATATCGGCCATTTCAAACCTGTGGAGATTCACATTGGAAGGTACCCATTGCAAATAAACATCATGAATATGTGAAATGAGGTTTAATTCAAGCAAGTTAAAGGTGCTGATCCTGTCGCCCACAAGAGGCCAATTACTAAGATGGTGGAGAGAATTACGGCTGTCAGACAAGATCCATAGGTCACCATAATCCTCTTCGGACAGAATAGCATCTAGTCCCACGTCACTTCTGAAGACAGAGCAGTGATTAGGATTACGATGAGAAAGAGTCAAATTAGCTTGACATTTTAATGGCATTATTGGGAATGTGGCTCTGGTTTTCCAAGGTCTGGTGTCTAAGATGTTCCGGGATGTAGTCTTTCTTGTTAACATGAGAACTTAAATGAACCCTGGGGAGTCCTTCTGCTGGATTTAAGCAGCATTGTAGTAAGTTGGGTTCAACATTACTATTAGGTAGTTGAAGAGACGCGACCAGACTGAAAGGGTTGTTCCTCTTTAATCTTTGATGATTACTCCAGCTATTAAGATAATGGGGGTTCTTCTGTGCATCCATAGGTGAGCTGGATATACACCCACATATGTAAATCAAAAATTTACAAAAATTATTTAAATTAAAATTATTTATAAAACATAAAACCTGATAAAGCAATACTAATAATTGAAAAAGTTTTTTTTTATTAAAATTATATTTACATTATGTAACAAACTTATACAGCTTCAGAATATAATGCACATAATATTTTCTTATTTATGATGTACAATTCATTAAAAAACTTTTCTAAAAGTAGATTCTTTCATTGAAATAAAACAAAATTTTACGTCTTTGAATTCTTTTACANTACACTATGATTATTTCCAAAATGATGGTAAGGGAAACATCTTTCAAAAAAGAACGAAAAATCTAAAATCTTATGAGGAAAAAAAAAAAATTTTTTTTTTTTAAAAATGAGCGGAAAAATTTATCGAATTTCGTTCCGGTTTTTTGGTTTTCCGATTTCCGGATAACGGGTTCTGTACTGTATTATATATTTGGCATTTTTGTATTATAAGCTACATATTTAAACTTTAAAAAAAAAATATTTTCAACAGTTTTCTGAAATTCTATTAAAATGTGACAAATCTTACGAAAAATGATACTAACATGCATTATTTCCATACATTAAACCATATTAGTTAATAGTCATAGGAAAGGAAAAAAATAGTTGTCAACTTTACTTGAAACTTATCCTAAAGCACTTACAATGTTTTTTCAATTGTACAGCAGTTAAAAACTGCTGTACAGCCCAAGATCTAACAAATAAAGCAAAAATAATTGGGAAACACATCAGTTGAAATATAATAATGAAATCTATATTGTCAGGGTTGCCACAGAAAAAAAAATGAACAAAATAGTTGCCTAAATAAGAACAAAAATATTAGACAAGATCCACGAGTTCGTTGACTGAAAGGAAGTCGAGAGAGGATTGCTAAAGAGATCCTCCTTAGAGAGTCCCATGCAATCCAAGAGGTGCTCAAGAGAAGCTTGATGAATTTGGCACTTGGTGCAGGCGACGAAGGTTTCCCTGCCCTCGTTGAAAGTGAGGCACTTGATGTGACCGCTAGCAAGCGTTGATAGAACAGTCCCGGTCTGTCACACGGAAGGTCAAGGGACAAACCCGGGTTTGATCCCTTGCACCAACTATGGGTTGGGGGTCTTTTCCACTCCTCCGAGATCTTTCCAGAGAGTATAACTCCAAAAAAGTAAGCGTGGAAGAGGGAGTTGTTGTAATCCTGCAACCCTCCTTAGCTAGAATATCGGTCATTTTATTCCTGTGGAGATTCACATTGGAAGGTACCATTGCAAATCAACATCATGATTACGTGAAATGAGCTTTAATTTAAGCAGGATAGAGGTGCTGATCCTGTCGCACACACGAGGCCAATTACTAAGATGGTGGAGAGAACTACGGCTGTCAGACAAGATCCATAGATCACCACAATCCTCTTCGGATAGAATAGCATCTAGTCCCAAGTCTACTACAATCAAGTCACTTCTGAAGACAGCTTAAGGGGTCAAATTAGCTTAAGGGGTTTCGATATAAATGCCACTGCCAGCAAGATTGTCAATTTTACTACTGTCAGTAAAAATTTTAATGGCATTATTAGGAATGTGGCTCAGGTTTTCCAAGATCAGTTGTCTAAGATGTTCTGGGATGTAGTCTTTCTTGTTAACATGAGAACTTAAATGAACCCTGGGGAGTCCTGCTGGATTTAAGCAGCATTGTACTGAGTTGGGTTCAACATTACTATTAGGTAGTTGAAGAGACGCGACCAGACTGAAAGGGCTGTTCCTCTTTAATCTTTGATGATTACTCCAGCTATTAAGATACATGGAGGTCTTGTTGCCGAGGCCATAAGTAGAGAGTTTTTTAAAAAAAAAACACTCACCAAAAATATTATTAAATGACTTAATTGTCATATACCATGATCCAAGTTGATGGCAAATATGATAATTTTTATATAAAGTTAGGTGTTCTAGCACTAAATTTTTATATCAAAAAATTAGTATATTCGCAGAAAATTAAATACTTTTGATTGCTAGAATTCATTCAAAAAATAGTTTTTCATTAAAAAAAAAACACTTTTTCAAAAAACTTTTCAATTTTATCAATAATTGATTTAGCAAACATATACATAAATATATATATACATTGTGAAACGTGATAACTCAAATTTGAAATTCATGCATCGTAATACCTAATTAAAAATTGGGTTTCTTAAAATCATGCGGAATTTCGTAGCAATAACCATGAAAAGGCTATTGAGAAACAAAATAGACTTATAATGGAATCTGTGCAAATTGAGCGAATAGCAAAGTGATGACTCAAATTTGCAATTCAAAATTTTTATTTTTTTAAGGGGAAAAAAGATTAAAAAAAAAATCCAACATGTTCAGAAGCTCCCCACGGGCCGCAGGTTTTCAAGCCAATGTACACTAAAAAACATCGCTAGTATAGAAAATAATCCCAATAGTCTCCTTTTAATGAAAATAGTTGCAAATAGTCGCCTGTTGCAACACTATATGCTGAATCTTTTGAAAGTATGTTGGATAAGCGAAGTCGGACATGATCGAGTATAAGATAATGGGGGTTCTTCTGTGCTCTGTGTATCCATAGGTGAGCTGGATATACACCCACATATGTAAATCAAAAATTATTTAAATTAAAATTATTTATAAAACACAAAACCTGAAAAAGCAATACTAATAACTGAAAAAGTTTTTTTTTATTAAAATTATATTTACATTATGTAACAAACTTATACAGCTTCAGAATATAATGCACATAATATTTTCTTATTTATGATGTACAATTCATTAAAAAACTTTTCTAAAAGTAGATTCTTTCATTGAAATAAAACAAAATTTTACGTCTTTGAATTCTTTTACAGATAAAAGTATAAATGTTAATATATTTCTCTAATTACAATATTTACAAGTTATTGATAACAATTTCTTTATCCTAATCAATAAATACAAAATAATTTTTTAAATTAATTCAATTTAAAATAGCAGCACAAGATTATTATAAATTGTACAAAGGTTTTCTTTGATTTTAATATGCACTTAAACAAGCTTTTAAATACAAAAATTTGTGTAAATAGTTTTTAAAAAAAGTTGAAAAAATACAAATATTCACAAATAAAAAATTAACATTTACTTTGTATGAGCAACCTTAATCTGTCAACATATAATATGGAATGTTTAAAACAACTAATAAGAAAATTGAAACTAAATACGATATATTCAGCAAAATTTAAACCCCTGTTCAAAATGTCATGCGAGTTAAAAATTAAATTTTCCAAAGAAAACTCCAAGAGAGGTGCTTTTCATCTTTTTTCCGTGAACTGGGGAGGCGGTAGGGCACGGAGAGGGCGGTACAAGCTCCTGTAATATATTGAATAAATCATTTTTAAATAATTTACATTTATAAAATGTTAAATAAAAACAAAATTAATAACCCCCCAAAATTGAAGCTAAATAATAATAATTTAATAAAAATTTCATTAGCTTCAGAATTAAAGTTGGGATCCTGTGCACTGCTTTGATAATACCATACCCACCAACATTGGAGAAAAAAATAATGGAGATTTAACTAGTGATATTTTTTAGGCTACGAGTAAAGTTTATATACATCATGTAAGCCAATAAGAGAAATTCAAATTTGGAAATATAAGCACTTACATTTAGCACAGTAAAAAATTTATATATTAATCTTAATCTAAAGATTTTTTTAAAACCATTATTTATAATTACTTAAACTATTAACACTCAACATACTGCAGCACCATCTGTTGAGGAAAAATTGAAGTAATTTTGCCATCAGCAGATATTTTATTACAAACTATTTTTTCTTCCAAATTTCTTCAACAAATACGGAGAAATTTCAGAATAAATTGGTAAACAGAAGATAGTCGTAAAATACAAGAGTCTTCGTTAAAAAACAGGAGACCTGGCAGGTATGCAATATCAAAACTCTTTACACTCTTGATTAAATATACATGACGTCTGAGTCCAGTCAGTTTTGCAGAGTATATAGTACTGGATAAATGCTTAAAACAATCACATAAATTTAAAAATATTCATAAAAATAATATTAGTTTTCGAAATTCATGTTCTTCATTAGCTTGTAAACCATTTTTGCTGAAATTACTGATTTAGGCTAGATAGATTTAGGCAAATAAATTTCTGCCTGGTACTCAGAATTAGACGGATTAAAAATGCAGTTTTTTTTGTGTGCAAAGATCCAGTACATCACTACTACTGGCGCATAAGCTCACATACAACTTGAGCCTTGTTTCATTCATATCAGTGGCGTATTTAGGGTATGGCAACTGAGGCATTTTGCCATGCTTGCATTATTTGAAAAAAGGGAGCCAAATATACAAAATTTTTTTGTTTGCTTACTTAATCATCATTTATTATTACTATTATGAAAATTAAAATGTTTTGCTTCTGTTTAGTTTTAGCTGTTGAGTAAATTAATTTTAATATTCCCCAATAAAAAAAATTTAAATAAATTGACCATAAAGCAAACTCTTAAATGTTTTCCTCCATTTTCTCCTCCAACAACTAATGCTAAAAGTCAAATATTTTCCTTCTAGTTTGGGCTACACATTCTATTAATAGAAGAGCTTTTTGTTAAAAGTAGCAGCACAACTGCGGGAAAGAATAAAGATCTCCTTCAGTGGCCGGACCCTGTAGCAGATTTTTTTCGAGCAATCAGCGACAAAGCTCTTTAGCACTAACATCTTTCTGCAAGATACTTTTAACAATAACTTACTACTTTAAAATAACAAAAGCGCTGCGTTTACAAAATTAAAAAAAGAAAAAAAACTATATATATATATATTTTTTAATTGAACATGTAATAACTTTTTATTCTAATATTATAGGTGATATTCTCAAATTTTGTTGGGGGTGGGGAAGCGCATGAATAATTTTTTCCCTCACATTTGGTAAATTGATCGAGTCATTGCCGAAAAACAGATCGACGAGGAAATCGCGTGAATTGGACTTCTCAAATGCATGTGTTCGTTTGGAGATTACGCTTGTGCAATAAAAAATATCGGATTTAAAAAATGAGAAATCATTAGCAATAACTGCCAAAAAACTCGATAGAATTATTGCCTCAAAAGTTAATACTCAAATGCGAGATTCGAATTTTCCATATTGTGTGAAATATATCTGGATATTTAAAAATCATGTGAAAATCAATAACTGACAAAAATACAATTGAAACATTACATCAATTTACGATACTACGGGTGTAAATTGAGCCTGTCAAAATGTGATTATCTAAATGCATGATTCAAATATTATGTGCAAATTTCTGTAGAAGAGAAAAGAAAATTTTTTATTTATATTTTTCACTTTTTTAACGAAAAATCTTTCTGCAAAAACTAACGTTCTGGGACAATATCGCCGTGAGTCTACCCAAGGTGGCCGGAAAATATATCAATTAAGATGAGGAATCAATTAAGAGGCCCACTGTCTCCATACTTATCTCTAAGATATCCTTGTTTAACTTCAATTTAATTAGTAACGAAAATCTCTTTGAAAAACGTTTTCTGAATCTGTTGAATAGATTTCACCCCTATTGTAAATTTGTGATAAAGAAAAAACACATCCCTCCACAAAGGATGCCACTCACAGTGAGGAATCCTAAGAGCTGTAATAAGTACTAAATAAAAGGAGATGCTCTTCCTCTCTTGACAACCCAATTTTAACCTATCAAACGATTTAATATCGAATATTAATTTATATAGAACACTTAATTTTTAAAAGCAGCTTTTAACTTATTTTAAGAAAAAAGCTTGAGAACAGTATTATGGAGAAACAAATATTGTTATATTTCAGAAAAATGTAAAATAATCAATTTTTAAATAAAGAGTATTTTATACAATTTAATATTCTAGTTTTAATAATTAAAATAAATACCCAAGTTGTAATAGAATTTTTATAAGAAATAATAAAAATGTATGTTAAACTTTGAACCTCATTTATTGTTGATAATTTTGAAAGTTATATTTTTCTAGATTTATTAGAGAATTTTTCTAGGTTAAACTATTCCCAAAACAAAAATCCCTCAATTCCAGGTTTCCATACCCTCATGAGAAACCTGGTCTAGTTTACGAGTAGAGAGAAATCTCTAGTCATAGTATCTTCATACTCAATTATGAGCCCAGATATATCCCATTCACAACATTACACAGTCGAACCTGTTTATCTCGAAACTCATGGGAAAGGCGAAAAATTCGAGATACAGAGGTTTCAAGTTATACAGGTACTATAAAGAAATTAAATTTAAGAAAATTGATTAAAAGTGCTTTGTTTTTAGTAGAAAAATATAGACATTTCTTTAAATTAATTATACCACTGTTATGTAAATAGATGTATATCTATTTACATAAGTTTTTTAACATACATTTAACACTGAAAATAATGAATAAGATTTTTGACTGATAACCTTATTTGCTTCAATTATTCCTTTGAGGTTAAAAAGATCGCAAATTCCTCATAGATCGTTTTCTATAGTTCACTTTAAAATTCTTAATTATCCATTGGTTGCAATTTTGAGGTCAAAATGAATTGCTATTCTTAGCTTTCTTATCTATGTTGAAAAGCTATGGTCACTACTCATTAACCCCTCACTTACTGACAGAATCTTTGTAATTCCTTTCTAGTTAAAGAAGTGCAAGGATAGTGATTGAAATTTCGAGAAACACCCCAACCTGTTCATCCTTACTTCTTGTGGATTCACGAAATTCATCTCTGTCTACGAGTTCTGCTGATAAGGAAAGTTTTGACATTTGTGCTCGATTATAAGAAATTCGAGAAATGGAGGTTTTGAAGGAAAAAAATCGACATAAACATGGAAAATACATTTATTTTAAACAGTAAATGTAGGGAATTTTAAAAATTTCGAGATATAGAGGTTTTCGAGATAAACAGGTTCAACTGTATTGGTTTATATAAACCAAACAAAGTTCCAGCATAATAAAGGTAATATGGTTAAAATGAAAATTTTGGAATCATAATAAAATTTTTATAAACTACTGCCATAGAGTACTTCATAATTTTTTCCCCTATATACCTGAAAAGGTTTGAGCAAGAAAGACAAACTGGTTAAATTAAAATTTTCCTTCCCTAAGGGAATTTAAAAAAAAAAAAAAAAAAAGGCATAAGCTTGAAAGTAAAATCTATGTGGTAGCTTTAATTTGAAGTAAGCACAATATCCTAATTAAATTTGGTGCAGGAAATAAAGCATATATCAGCAATAATTAAAGGAAGCACATTGTTTTCTCCTTTCTCAGTATATGCTGAAATTTTATGGACAGAAATGGACACTTGCACAATGAACCCTATTCTTTTTAAGCATGGGTAAATCATATGACTGTAATAAAGATAATTTTAATAACCCCCAAACTTTTTTTGGGTGAGTATTAAATTTAAGTAAAAAAAATAAAATAAATAAATGAAGAAAAAATACAATGTGATCACAAATCTGTAAAATTCAAACTGTTTAAAAACAAAACACTAAAAGTTCAAGAAAGCATATTCATCACTTTGTTTTTTGATATCTTACCTTAAGTACGCAGTTTAAATTATTAAGTAGTAAATAAATTTTAAAACAAAGCATCTTGTTTAAAAATCAATAAAAATAAGAACAATAAAATTTAAAATCAAGTAAAAATTGAAAAGTGACAAATAGGGTAAAGGTAAAAAACATGCACTATAAAGAGAAATCATACAAATTAGACTTTCAGATTCCAAATACAAGAAAAGATACGCATGCAACAAATAAAGAAGTTTTATAAGCCAGAAGCTAGAAAGAAAAGGCTTTAAGTATAGTTAAAAGGCTACTAATTCCAAACCACAAACACGAAGGAAAGAGGGGAAAGACCAACACCTATAACCAACACACTGTTACAACTAACCTTGTTTGATTTTCATTATTGTTGTTTGTACTCTTCCGCCATTTATTTCTGAAGGGAAGCAGTGCTTCAGGAAGCAAATTAGGTAATTGCTAGCAAAACAAAAGCATTCATAAAGATATATATCTTCAAGGATTTTTTAAAATTTTATTTGCAGCACATGCAGCTCAATCCATAATAGGAAGATTTCTTTGATAATAATTTACTTTTTAAAAGAGAACCACAAAATTTTTACAACAAAGGGATATCTTCTGAATATAATTTTAATTAATATTAGGATTACTTATACAAATGAGTTAACATTTTCAGGTAATTGTTTATTCTCTTTATATATTATTACTATTATTACCTATTATGAGCATATATTAACTAAAATGTTATTTTCAAAAACAATTATTTTTTTTTAATATATAAAAAAAAAAAAAAAACACTTTTGAGTAAAAATTTCCTTTTCTGAAATTTTTTTTGCAAAACTCATGAGTTTTATAAATTTTAAAAAGTTGGCACTTATTGTTCACAGTAACAAATTGTAAGTTACATTTTTAGAAAAAAGAGAGAATTACTTTTACAATTTAAGTTTTTAATTGTTTATATTTATAAAAATTTTTCAAGTTTAAGTAATATTTTATAATATGTTTGTAATATATTAAGTAGAGGTAAAAAAATGAATAAATTATAATTTATAATATAGATATGCAGAATAGAAATCAGGTATTACAATAACTCATTTTAAAGAATTTAAGTTATATTGCTGCAACACATTTGCATAGTTATTAATACTTCATTTTATAGTTATCTAGCAGCAAGATTTAACCTATATTTGAGCACACATTTCTGTCATTTAAACATAATATTCATAATCAAAAACATTTTATTCATAATAAAATTAACACACCTTTCATAAAAGTTGAATTTTCATAAAAAAAAATTTCCAATTATTTAAACTACCAAAAATTAAATTGATAAAACTATTCATCTATTTTAAACTAAAGGTATGCTATCTGTAATTTATCAGTTTAAATAATTATTTATAAGACTGGAAACTTAATATAACAATCAACACATAGTATGCATGAGTGCTTATCTATCAACAATAGTTCCATAGCTGCCAACATTGGGTTTTCAAAAAAAGGAAGATATTAAACGCTGTAAAATTTCTATGTATTTTTTGTCCAGAACACAATTAAAATTTAAGATTTTAAGACAATTAAGAACACTCAGGGACATCAATTTGAATTATTTTTCAAAGTTTGATGCGTGCATGATTTGGCTTTCTTTAAAAAAAATTTCATCAAATGTTACATAGCAATTTTGATTTTTACAAAAATAATCAGCTTGTATTATTTTCTCTAGCATCTCATCACTAAGAGATGACCTAAACTATGTTCTTGTTCTTTTAACCTGACTGAACACACGTTCATATTCTGCATTTGAATGTGAGAAAAATAACACAGATAACCTAAATTTAGAAATGTTTTTATATTGGCCCATTTCATTCTTCAGTTCTCCAATAAAAACCCATTGATTGTCCATTCTATCTTCTTTCACTGTTTCGAAACTCTCTTCAATTTGCAATTGGCACAGTTCATGTTGCAATTTATCCAGTATTACATGTTTCTCTTCACCGCTGTTTGCTAACATCACAGGAAATTTTTGAATAAAATATTTAATGTCAGCATCCTTTTTAAGATCTGCAACACTTGCATGGCACAAAATTTCATTTTTGAACGGAAATTTTAATCTCATATAATCGCATACAGAGCAGAAGTATTTCCTGACTTGAAAAACTTCTCTTTTTCAGAAGCTGGAAGATTTTCTACAATATCTGAAGCATTCGGCTGTGCTCGGTTGCAGAGTGAAACATTTTCTCCCCGATATTTTTATTTAGGGAGCGTTCTCCTTACCACCAATCAGATTCGGAAACGCAGCTACGTTTCCGAGTGTGTTTCAACTTTTGCGTCGTAACTTTGATTTTCTCCCTTGTTCGAGCAGGTGCCGAGAAGATGCAAGAATTTGATTCCTGCTCTAAAAAATTCATTCGGGTACAAATTTGGATTGTGGCTCTGTTGTAAAAAATTTGAAATAAAACTGGAATTTTTTTTAAATAGAGGAAAATCGGAAGATTAAAATAAAAAACCGGAAGGTTCGAATAAAGACAGGAAATCTTCCGGCTAAACCGGATGAGTTGGCAGCTATGTAGTTCACAGAATATTCTTAATAATTGAGATTATTTCCCACATTACGTTTGAGAATGAAACAGATAGTTAAAATTTTTTCAAGCTAAATTTTTCTAAACAATTACTGTTTAAACATTAGCAGTCAGAGTCTATTAAAATTATAAAAGTATAGGATTGAATTAAGCTAAACAAGGTAAAAAAAAAAAATTACAAATACCACATAAACAGACTATAGTTATAGCTTTGCATAGAACTGCCCTTAGACACTGATAAAAGTTCATATCTTGCAGAACTGAAACTACAATATTATTTGTTTATGTGACATGCTTTTTTCACATTGTTCACTTTACTTTTGCTTCACCATTTAGAAAACATATTGCTACAAATTCAATTACAGATTCATACTTTTTTCATATTGCTTAGCTTTATTCACAAATAACACAAAATTCACTCATTCTTCACCAATAGGAAATATTACAAATCCAGTACTACTCATTACTCAATATTACTACATAACATATTAATAAAATTTTTTTACATAAAATTAATAATGTTTTGTATCTAAATTATAGTAGCATTGCAAAAGAAAAATCATTGCCAGATTATAATGTTTATGTTAAAAAAAATAGGTCTTCAAAAGTTCTTAAAATTTTTCTTTAGTTGCTCAAAATGGAATCCATAGAAGTAATAATAATAATAAAAAAATCCATAACAGTTGCTATGAGCAAGCTAAGTAAAGTAACCACCCAACAGACATAAATCATCTCTAATAAAGAAAATAATGAGTTTACATTACATTTAAATGACCAAGAAACAGAAAATTATGTATATATTAAATTAAGCAGAACAGAAAGGATAAAAAAAAGAGACAAGTAACTTACGGTGAGATTTGTTACAGAAGATAATCTTAAGGTAGACATAGAACTACGAGGCGTTCCTAGGTTTCTTAAAGGACTGATTATGGTTGATACGGCTCTACTTAAACCTCGTTTTGCAGGTGTTTTTTTCATAGACAAAGCTCTGCCTAGTTTGCTCTTTGTTTTGCTGGAATTAGAAATACAATATAAATATTTACATCTATAGTCATAATGTATGTAGATTCACAATTATTTATAATCATAAAAAGCATACATTCACTTAACTTTGCAATTTCACATGAAAATGATTTTTTTCCTAGTTACATTAATATGAGAATCAAAACGCAAAAAATCAATAATTGACAAAAAAATAAGTCAGAGTGCATAGCCAAATCTTTCAACAAAAAATAAGCACCCTTTAAGAACTCAAAAAATATTTTTAAGCACTAAATACATAAACAAATGATTATGATAAAATAGCTAGTTTCTGACAAAGAGCTCTTTTCTTGATTATATAAGCCAACATCAAAACATTGAAAGATTTTTCGATTTCAGAGGGTGGAAAATGAAGCCTGAAATTGAGAATATCTTGCTAAACGCAGCAGAATTGCCATAAGAGTGCTATAATCTCATTGAATGCAGCTCAGTAGACACACACGTAGACTCGCAAGTACTTCATCATGTAAAAGGGTTGAGTTTTTATACGCTACAGAACAACGGTACGCCGAAATGGATTGTGGTTTAATAAATTATGAATACATTGAATAGAACAATATGAAAACCACACTTTTGCATAATATGTGGCAAAAATCTACAATCTCATTTTCAAAAAAGGAATATTAAGAACTTAAAATACTGAAAAAAGCACCTTTAAGGGCTTTCAAAAGACGAAAATAAGCACCTTTAAGCACTTTTTAAAAACACTATGCAAGTTAAGCAGTGAGTGATGTTGACTTAAATTTGTTGTTAAAACAGGTCAATATATGAATTTTATAATAATCTATAGCAGGGGTTTTCAACTAACATGAGGCCGGGGGGCCACACTTAAAAACACAAATCAAATGGCGGGCCGCAACTTTATCAAAATTTCATGTTGGACTCTTTTATGTTTAAAGGAACATTAAATATTGCTGTCAGATTTTTACCAAGTTGTTCAAAACGAAAGTATCGTATTACAAATTAAAATAAGAAGTAGATTTTTAAAAGTATTTACTACAATAACTAAGAGCACCTGTGTATTAAACAATTAATGTGCAACTGATATCTAATTGTTAAGATATAAAACTTTAAAAAGGTTGATATTAAAACTTTTATAGTAGCACACGAAATATTCAATGAGAAATTTGAGGCTTGTCTGTTGCAACCACCAGAGAATAGATATTTACATTTTAAATTTAAAATTTACAAATGTGTGTGTAAATATTTTCGTACAAAATGAGTGGTTTCAAAAAGTTAAATCGAAGAATTTCTTCGAGAAAATTTCTGATACGCACATGCTAAATTACATTCACAAAATACAAAAAAAAAATGAAGTAAAAAACAGTTACATACACGATTATTTTTGTATTTTAATAAATATTTTCTTGAACGCAAAACCTGAGAAATAAATTTCTCTGCACCGGTGGTATTTTATATTTCACAGAAACGAAGAAATTAGATTTGTATTAGAAGGAAAAGTATTTTAAACCCATACAGATCTTTTACGAAAATTGTCTGTAAAAAAAATGACAACTAATATATTTTAGTTCGCCGGCCACAAAAAAGGGCTTCGCGGGCCGGATGCGATCCCCGGGCCGCCAGTAAAAAGATTATTTTTAAGACACATTTCAAATCTGAAATCATTTTTACTCCTAAAGCTATAGATTTTTTTAATAATATTTTTTCTCGAAATGTACAAGTTAAAAAATATATGTAATAGGGGGTTGTGAACTTTGTGACAAACTTTTAAGAGGGTTGCAGCACTTTATGATTAAAATTGCATAGGAGCTTATTATGACTTGTTCTAACACACAGGCAGAAATAGTTCATTTTACAGAAGCACATTTTAAACCTGTACATTTTGACAAAAATAGTCTGTAAATTTCCTTTGGTTTTTTCCAGACAAAATGCCAACTTTCAAAAGTTTAAATGCCAACTCAGGTATACCTACATTTTAGTAAGCATCTCGTTTTGAAATAAATATTGATATAAGGAGAGTCATTTTAATATAACATTTGATTAAATATAATTTTGTAATGATTACATATCTAGTAAAAAACTTATTTTGTTATAGTTATTTAAAAACCAACTAAACAGAGTGTGCCAGGAAAATAATAGAGTTCACTAACTTCAATGCTTTCGTTAAAGCACCACTTGAGTTTTCAGAGTCATGCAGATCTAATTGTTCTGGATCTAGGCAGATAAGAAGATTTTCCTGAAAAATACATGAATATCTTAGTAATATAGATAATACTCTGAATACAATTATTACACTGAGGAATACATTTTTTAAAAAGGGATTTTAAACGTTGAAGAGATTTAAGAGACAGTTTATAGAAATATATCAGGGCTATAGTGAATCCCTGATATATTTCAATAAACTGAACATGAATATAACAAAGAAATAGCTTTGTTTTTCTTGTATGCATTTCTTAAAAAAAATCAATAACATAACGTATGTTAGAAATAATTAAATTTATCTGCATCCCAAACCTGATTAAACTGAAACGCAATTTTTTTACTACACTGATTTGAGGGAATTTTTACAGCAGGTATTTGAGGAGATACATTTAATAATTATAATATAAATATAATAATATTAAATAACTAATATAACAAATTATATAATGTATACATTGCAACACATTAGTGAGTCTTTATATAACAATTAATATAAATATTTCTGAATTGGGAATTAAGCAGCTTTTCTAATTCGACAGATTTCATGCATGATTGGGTATTTTCAAAACAATTCTATAACTCTCCAGTGTTACAGACATTTACAGAACAGAATGCAATTAGTAAGAATGAATGCTCATTATCATTTAAATAAAAAATAAATTTGCCAAAAATGTTTTCACTATATATATATAAATATAAAGAGTACACACATACTACAGTGCAGATCACACATATACTACAGTAAATTCATTCAATGTTTAGAACAAATGCACTACAATGCTGTCAACCTAGGTTTGATTCATGGATTTATTTGCAGCTATTGAGATTGGCCAAGCTTTGAATTGTTTAAAGGAATACTTCATTGGAATTTAAGTAAAATATTTTTTAAAAATGCCAGTAAATAGACACAAATACAATTTTCGTTTTACATGTCTTCATATCATTTTAAAAACACAATTAGTTTCAGTATTATTAATAGAAAAGAAATTATAATTAAAGGCTGATAAAGCAAAGTTTTTGTTTTAAAAACAAATGCCTCTTCTAAAGCTTCTGAATTTTTTAAATAAATAAAATAGAAATAATCTACAAATATTAGTACTCATAGTTGGATTGACTTTAAGCCTGATAACTTAATCATGAGCTACAACTAAATCAAGAAAAAATAAGCAAAAAAAAAACATGTTTACCTTAAAATATTTTAGTAATTCCAAAGTCATGCTGGCTACAAAATATTTTTCAACAACTTAATTATTGTTTGAAAAATTAATTTAAAACAGAAGAAACAAAAAACTTAGTTAAATATACAACAAATACAAATGTTTACTTACGGCATCAGCTTTACAAACACTATTAGCAATTTGACGACAAAAGGTACGTAGAAATGTACCTTTATCAATGTCATCCTGCAATTCAAATGCATATAAAAGCTCCTTTAGTTCTTTTGTAGACCATAATACAATTGCAAAAATATTTTTGCAATCTAAAAAAGAAAAAAAGAAAATAACAATTATTTACTCATTAAATAAACAGGCAGAAATGCTTTAAAACTTGAATTCAAATGCAATTAATTTTTTTCAATCTTATTAATTTTTAGACTTATATCATGAGAAACAAACGTATGTCATATCTTCGAATATATATCACATCTCTTAACAAATATCATGAAAAAGCTTTTTATTCAGTTATTCAGAACACGTCTTTAAACGAAAAAAACAAAACAAACAATGAGGCAGGTTTCTGTTAAAAACGAAATTATTGTATGCCCGTACTGTGTACTTTATTAACATTGTTTTTTACTTTAGTTACCTCAGAACAAAGTGTACCCTATCTCTCTTTTTTAACTATTAATTAAAAATAAATAAAAAGCACAACAGTTTTGCAGATTATGTTATAAGATGCATGTTTACCTAAAGACAGGATAAACCCTTTGAAAAGTAAATATAGATGTGATGACAAGTAATTTCAAACAATGACACTATCCAAATATATACAGTGAAACCTCCTGTTATGGACACTCCTGCAAAACGGACGCCTCTCAATACGGACATATTTTTAATTCCCCGGGAATCTTCTATGAATAAACCATTACGTACATTCTCCGCATTGCGGACACTCCTGTAACCGGACGCGGACAGTCATTTTGGTCCTGAAACGTTGTTTTTTATCTCTACAAACCGGACACTACTTTTTCTAAATGAATTGCAAGCTAAAAAAATGCAACTTTTCAAAATTTTTAAAGCATGTAAATAAAACTTTTTGCCTTATCCGTAACTAAAAATATTGTTAAGCTATTTCACCACCGAAAAATCAATCTTTCTCCTGTCACCTTGCCTTATCTTTGTAAAGAAAGGAGAGAAAATGGTACTGCACCCTTGAAATAATTCTGACATCGGCATATTTTTTATCTTTTCATCTGGACCACACAGGTTATGAGACCAGGCTTGTCTGTTGC